AGACCAAGACCATGGCCGCCTAACTGTTGCAAGACCAAGACCAAGACTGGTAAAAAGAAAATCGATTTCTTTAATAAAAGTTAATACAAAATAGTCACTAATAATTGACAATCTTAGTTACTATAAGTTAATAATTGGTATAACCAATAAACTGTTGCATTTAACTCCTCTAATTTTTCATTCGGCCTTAGTTAGATTTCTCCTATCTGAAAAATTACAGAAATATCTCTATACTACTAAGCTAATACGTAATTGCAAGACTGTTGCGAGACTCTTGCTCAAGACCAAGACCATGACCAAGACTGAGTTTGCAAGACCAAGACTCGTCTCGGTCTCGCATTTGGGCAACACTATTTGTGGGTTACGCTGAGATGAAGCTATTTACGAAGTTTCAGCCGGATGTTAATAATTAGATAAAAAGGAGTCTGTACCATGGAATATTAAGGAATTTAGAATTATTATTTTATTTATAGCCTAATGATCGTTTTTATGTAATTAATTATCTAAATATTGCAACTTTGACAATTTATTGTTTTAATTAAACCATATGTTTTCATTGTAAATAAATCGTGGATTTATTGCAAATAATCATTAAGTGGCATTTCATAACCTCAAATAATTAAGAATTTAAAACAATTTTTGCTTTATGAAATTAGGAAATTGTGCGCTTTTTGTAACTATATTTGATGTATAAAATGGGTTGTTTTGTTTTGATGCCCTTATAATGTTTGTGTATCAATTAATATAGTTGAAATTCATAAATAGGTTTTTGAAAGTTAACCTATATAAAGAAAAACGACGAAATATTACTTAAGTTGTATCCACCTATTGTAAAAAATTATCTCAGAATAATCACGATTTCTTGAAGTGTAATTGTGTACATAAAATTTATACTGCACTATGTCGATATAGAACTGTTTTACAACTATAATCCTTTGCAACCTTTTTTTTTTTTATTTCCCCCTCCTTCCTTCTCTTATCGACAACACGGGATTCTGTACTGCTTTGCAAACTGATATATCATTTATTGTGCAGTATAAAAAGAATTCAACTGATCTGCGAAAAAGTAGGTTAAAAGGTCATACTTCAATTTTCAGGACCGTCTCGTGTGGTGAAAAGGGAGGGGGGACGCCAAAGGAACAAAAATAATAGCTAACTTACATAATTCTTTTAATAATTAAAAAAACCAATAGCCGGGTAGATTTGAAAATTTTTGAGCACTGAAGAAAATGTGGAAGCATAAAACTATCAGACATGACAAAATAGGATTATTGGCCGACTTGCGTAGAGAAGGAAAGCGCCTCATAAAATTTCGCTCCGAAACCTACAAGCTTGTTTACCTCCTTAGTATAGCGTTGTAACGTAATTAAGTGATACTTTGAGCAGTTTTAATCCCCAAATAGGTAATAATGAGGTCTAAATCAATACCTTTGTTTAAAAACAATTCATTTCTAAATTATTGTTATTTTAAATGTTTGTTATTCATTATCAGGCAATATATTGTTCGAGCATCATACGTCATTATGAATCATACAGCATAGTTTAATAAGTACAGGTTAGATTTTTTTTTTTTTTTTTTTGTGGGCTAAAACTACGAATTTCTTTGATTTTAATACAAGCAGCCTTTGATTAAGGTAGCATAATTTAAGACAACCACTATAATGTTACATTTTTTTTCTCTTTTATCTAATTCGTACCAACTCATTAAACAAGAAATATTTATAGGAATGCATTTCGATATATCACAGACTAATTTATAACCAAGTTATATCGGCTTCGTCCATTTCCATGTCGGCCGTGAAATTCGGGCATGGTTTTCCATGGATGAAACATGGACATGGGCCTGAATCCACGCCAGGTTCATCCAATCGAAATCATGCAAGACCGCAAAGAGGTGAGCTAATCCAGTCAAATATTATGTTCCAGAGTATGGTTCCCATGGTTAAAAATAAAAAATCAATGAGATCATTTAATATCAACAATTCTTGATATTGGTAGACCAGGCCTTAAAATTAATACTCATCTAAGTTTTGAATTAAATAAAAACCAAATTAACATCAAATAATGTGCCAAATAAATCATATTACAAATTTACAGTAACGATATTTCACTAAAAAATGAAAGTCTACAAATATAATGAAAATTAGATGAAAACTTAAGTTATCCCTAAAGGCAATTTGCAGACCATTTACTAAAAGAAATTCGGATTGATCTAAAAAAAGCTACATGCAGATTGCCTGAGGGGGTCACCCAACTTCATATTGCTAGGAACCATGAACGATTTGTCAATTTCCTCACTGACTCGCTCAGGTTTATGGAGATAGTTACCAAACTGTCTAGATCCATGGATTATGACTGATAACGGCCAGCAGGAGAATCTATTTTTTTTTAATGAAACAGGCCGTATTTAGACCAAATCTTCAATGGTTATTGACATCCAGTATAAGCTATGTTGCGATTCCTAAGTATCAGTAGCTTCCCTTCATGAGATTTCACTCTACCACTTCGTGACCTCACTGGACGTTATTTAACTTTGAATACTTCACAATTAATAATTGTAAGGTTTGACATTTTTTTTTATTTTATATGGCGTGGTATCCCTTGTAAGTTAGTGAATCGCTCCACGGTAGTTACGCCATTGCTCTACACCGATTACACAATGCCCTTGAACCGCCACTTCAGAAACGGTAACTTAGCTTGCACTAGCAAGGTGAACTACTTGCAATGGGCACCTTTGTCCCGATCTATTAAAAATGAAAGCCAAGTCCAGCAGCGTACTTACATTAAAACACCTCAAGTTAAACAAAACTAATTTAATTTTAATGAAGTAACTATAGCTGTATTACATAATTTTAATAAAAAATTGAAGGAAACTATAAAATAATCATGGCGATAATCATGGAGTCAATACTACTCCAACTTACCCGTATGGCCAGTCTAAGAAAATAACCTGCTGCTGAAGAAGCTCCACTATGAATCTGTATCGTGAGATTCTCAGTCAATCTTCAATGATAAGTACCACTTATATAAGAAAAAACACAAAACTTGGTTTAGTTTCTTAATCCTTATTAATGTCACTTCTAAAGACGCCTGAAAGAAATGAATCCAAGGAAAGTTAACATATCTGAAAAGTGTTTTCTGCCTTTTGATCGTGAAGAGTCTGAGGCAATCCTCTTCCTTCCAGTAAGAAGCTTGCCTGTTCAAATTAATTACAGGATATGCAGAACCAAATGAATAATATCAGCATGTCACAGGTCTGACGCCATCTTTGCGAAGATGCGGTATGGATGCCAGATCTGCCAACTCAATGCCCTCGAACCACAGGAAAACCATATACAAGACATTAAGATCTTTTTCTCTTCCCTTTAATGGACTGCGTTATTAATCCCATGATCAATCGGGCGAAGGATAAATAAGTACTTTTTTATTAATTTGTAAGCATGATTAGAATTTCGTAAAATATTTTAAACCAATCAATGGTTCATATTTCTTTTTTACTTTATGTCAGGAATGATACAGAGTTAAATTTTTTTTAAATACTCAATCAAACATACATAATCGAATGCAAAGCACTTTCAGTCTCTGGTAAGTTCACAGCTTCAGGTAACAAAATTAATAGAAAATACTGAAATAAGGCTTAAGAGGGAGTAATATCACTAGAACCAGTAAAAATTTTCAGACATTAAGCACTAATATTGAGATATTCCACCTAATAGATGAAAGGGGGCTACCCTAATCAAGTATTTCCTCACCATCCATTCTAGACTAGCTGTCAGAGGATTGTGTCCCAGAAATTTTCGAACATGTGATCAACTACACTGTGTTCGAGATACTGAGGACCAAACTAAAGAGGAGTACCAATATCTACAACCTCATCGAAGAACAATTATCTCTAATTGTCTCTGCAGATGACTACCCATACTACGAGGCATTTGTGTAAGGATGGAAATAGTAGGCACAGCCTATTTCAGTATGGAAGTGAGGCATTGAATTTGTTTCAATTAAATTTGTATAAAAAAAATATGTACCAATAGTTTCAAATTAGACACCTTTTCCTTCTCGTAGCTTTGAGGCAATGAAGGATTCAACAGCTGTTGTTCACCAATTCCATGAAGTCTTGAAATTCTTCTTATCACAGAATTTACATGTTATGTTATACAAAGTTATGGCAGAGACCATAGGACGAATTAAAAGAAAAAAAACACTTTATAGTCCATTTTTAAGAAAATTTCCAATACTATAAGACTTAGATATTCCAGTTAAAACAATATAATAGCCATAATTACCAAACTCAGAAATATAGGATGTTTAACTTACTAAAAATATATTTCAAACATTGTAAAATAAATAAATGCAAGAGAAATACTTAAACAGACCTAACACATTATTTTCAATAAGTAATATAACTTTGAAAATATTTCTGAAGTATAATTTGCTCATGTAATTTGTATGTTAACTACTAATTTACTCTTTGGTTGATGCTTTTATTTAATTAATTCTACTATTTTAAATTGTGTAAATTTTAATTTATTCTGACAATTAAAAATAATGGAATATCTTATTTACTGTTTTGGTATATCCTAAGAAGTGAGAATGCAACAAAATTATTAACTATTTACTATAACGAAGAAATTAATTTATATTAATTTCACTAGTAACAAATACTTAGTATTTAACAGAAAAATCATCACTTAAATGAAACTATGTTATATTTAATATACAAATAAATATATATTTAGTAAGTTAGTTAGCGTGGCTCTACAATCCGGTGTCGAATCCTGGCCTCCTCCAGCAGCTTCCACCAATTGTCTCGGTCCCCGCAGCCGCTATCCAATTCCTAAGCCCCAGAATATTTGATGCATTAGCAGCAACAGTATCAGCCCATCACAGCTTTGATCTTCCTTTTCTCCTGGTACCATGAAGTGGCTCCATCAGTAATTGTCTTGGTGGATCCTCGCTGCCCATCCTAACGTCGTGTCCTGCCCATCTCAGTCTTGCAAATTTTCATCATTCGAACTGAATTGGACTCCTTAAACATGGTGTACTGCTTTTTCCTCCTTTTCCACTCTCCTCTGATGAGAACTCCACCATATATGCGTCTGAGGATTCTTTTTTCAAAGACTAGGTGTTCCTGTTCACAAGCCTGGGAAGTAGTCCAAGTCTCACAACCATACAGCAAGACTGTACGCACTATCGTCTTATAAAGACAAAGCTTCAATTTTCTGGAAAGAGCTCTACTCCAGAACTGCCTTGTCATAGAAAAATAGCACCAACTTGGTGCTATGATCCTACGCCGAATCTCTTGTTCAGGTGCGTTGTCTTGAGCTACCAATGAGCAAAGATATAAAAAAACATTAGTCTTCTCGAATTGGTACTCCCCGAAAGTCACCTCCTTTTCAGGCCTAGGTATGTCTCCTGTAACCATATATTTTGTTTTTTCAGCATTGATTTCCGAGTCTTCTCACAGGACTCACCAGAGCAAGGAAAGCATCCGATACAGCCAGGAAGGAACGTCTTATGATATCTATATCATTTGCGTATGCAAGGAGACATATATTGAAATTTAAAAATACTGTCTAATAAAATAACTGAATTAAATCATATTTTCATACTCAATTTAAATAATAATATTTTTCATTTTTTCACAGGATTTGGTCTTGGATTACGACATATTCAAGCATTACTCCTGTTCCTGTGTTTCTTTGAAACATTTTTTCTAAGAATCAATTTGTCAGTTGGAATCGTGTCTATGACAGATAGGAACAGCTCTAATCCAGATTTTCATGTAAGTTAAAGTTCAAATAGAATTCTTAGCAATAACATGAAATAACAACTTAAACATTCAGAAAGTTTTTTTTTTTTTTCATTGAAGAAAAGATAGATAAAACTACTCCTACATACAGGCCCAAGCAGCAACTTTGGAGGCAAGACAAAAAAATGAGTTTTTTTTTTGTTGTAGTTTACTTAATTATAATTTACCAAATTTTGTACACAATAATGCTGTACAGAAAAATATACTGTTAATGCTGTATAAATTAGTGTTAACAGCCTCTAGGAAAAAGTAAAATGATTCGAATGTAACATCATAAAGCCTTATATAATATTTAAAAAATATGTAAATCACTTCAATACAACCATTTTAATTATCAATATTCTTTACAATTTTCATCTATCTATCAATACAATTTTAATATAAATGAAACAAATCTGTGAAACTATTCATGGAAACCTTAAGAAGCTAAATTTTCTTTGTCACTGACAATAAATTCACTTTTGAACCACTTGACACAACATTAAGCTTATATCTTGAAATGGATTGTGTTAATTATAGGCAATAGAACACCAGAAAATTTGTGATGCATTTTTTTATTTTAAAAACAATAATGGATTTAAAAAATACTTTAAATTTTAAAAACAATGTTAATACCTCTTCAAAAAATGTCTACGATAGGTAAATATGAATAGATAATTATAATTTTATGAAGCGGTGCATGGTAGGTAGATGATAAATTTTACATTAATTTTAACCAAAATGCTATGTTATAAAAAAGTTTTTATAAAATTGAATTTGGACTATTTATAACTGAATGTTATTGAATTAATATGTGTTTTATAATGATGTAGCTTGAAGTATAACAATTGAATTAAAATAAGTTTGCAGGATCTTGAAAATGGCTCCTGAAGCCAAAACGTCAAATAAATAATACATAATGTAAAAACTGTGTACATTTGGTGACCTTTAGCCTAATATTTTATAAAAACTTTTCGAAAAAATAGCACCGAATCTAAAAGATATGACTAGATAATTATAATTCTTGCAAACAAATGGAAATATAAGCACCTTGAATGATTTCCACATTTCCTATTTCTGTTCAAGATAAAAAAAATTAATTCATAATAAATGAGCAAATAAAAATTGAATTTTTATTTCTAATTGTCTTTCTGTTTAATATTGCTAAACAATTAAAAAGGATTTAATTATAATAATTTATCTAGTGAATGTTCAGAATAAAGTATCATAAGTTCTGTTTACTTGTATTTTCACTGAATTTTACTAGAGATATAAAATTGATTATATTATAATTAAACCAAATGTTCCCAGGAATTTAACTGGACAGAAAAAGAAAAAAGTGCCATTCTTAGCTCCTTCTTTTGGGGATATTTAGTTATCCAGGCACCAGCTGGTCAGCTCGGCCAGTATTTCAGCCCTAAATTGCTTCTCCTCGGAGCAAACCTGATATCGGCTGTACTCGCTGGACTCACGCCCACAGCAGCATTTATCGGAGGCTGGAAACTACTGTGTGCCTTAAGGGTTATTCAAGGACTATGCCAGGTAATATATCAATTGGATCCATATATTACTATATGAAGAGAATCATAAATCAGCATAGTAAAAATTGTAGTAACAAAAAAATTATCAACAGGATAGTTTTAAAGCCTTGGATATTTTAATATAAATAAAAAATAATGGTTAAGTTAGTCTAGCTATAAAAAATAGAAATAATTAAGATTATATACGAGCCATTTATTATGAAAGTGGCTTAAGTGCATTTATGTTCGAATTCTCAGTTAATGTAATTTTTTTCTAAGAACTTAAATCAATAAAAGTTATTTTCAATAAACCTGAAACATAACAAAATAGTTCCTTAGACTCAGTAGTGGATCTAAAGTGTAATTTTTTGAGATTAGGGGGCTTGTTTTTATTTATTTTATTTTTTAATGACGGTAATTAGTCTAGAAGAAAAAGTAAGGAACAATATGAAATAATGTTTAAGTGGTCATTGAAGGCCTATTCAAAAAACAAAACAAAAATTATTATAGAAACAACAGATACTCCAGGGATAAAATGCAAGATATTGAAGAGTTTGCATTGGATTAAATTTTAAATTATGGCTAACAGATAACACATCCCAATTAGCATAATTATATCAAAAGTAAAACTTAAAATGAAAAATTCATCGAACATTGATAATTAAACATAGAGCTGTGATCTCATAAAAGTTTATTACATAATATATCCATTTGAATATATTATCCTCTTACAATGGAACTTACACCACTTTTGAAATAAACTTTTTCATCGCTTCACTAACCAGCAAATATTTGTGTTTCAAAATTTTAAATATATTAGTAACAATTTACAACAAAATGAAAAGGTCATGAAAAAATGTAAGTATCAAAGTAGCTAACTCGATTTGTTTGGACATCACTTTCAAAATAAATGGCTCTTTTTACAAAACTCATAGCTCAATATCTATTGAGAAACATATGCCTCCTCAAATCAGTTTCTGCTATGATAATGTTTAGAATATAGTCTACAGCAATAGAAGTCAAGCAATTCCTCACAACCTTAATATCAGTATCTGAACAAGAACATTTATTTAATTATAGCTCGAGAAGTTCACTAAACCAAAAAATTAAAGAACTAAGGGAATTACACATTTTTAAGATAGATTTATCACTCTAAAAATTTGTATACTGTAAAAATTGAATCAAATTCAAAATTAAATTATACTAAAGACTTTTTAAACAATGAATGTGAAAGTTTCTGTTCAATCTTAAACCGCATATACAGTATTTTATGTGTTGCATTTTACTGAAATCAATTTCATGATGTGGAAACACAAAAGAACAATACATAAATATAGTTAATTTAGAATAAATTAATAGCTGACCTTTGACTGATTTTAATCTTTATTTTCAAGGGTTTCGCTGTACCTCTATCCTACACACTTATCTCAAAATGGGCACCTCCTAATGAAAGGAACAGATATGTTGGATTCTCTCTAAACGGTACAGTGTAAATTATATTTAAATTATTAACATGGTAAGTGATTGTAATATATGTTACCTTCTTTCCTAGAAAAATAATAACATTAAAAAATAATCATTTCCAACTCTTTGATTTCCAAAAAGTATCTCTGCCTTAATAGAATAGGATCTAACAATCCCAGAAAATTTTTATTACAGAAGACAAGATAATTTTTATATTTTTGTGAAAGTTGCTATATAAAAAAACGGCAATGCTACCAATGTGAGGCATAGGGGTGCAGAAGCAGTGGGGACGCAACACAAAATATATATACTGAAATAAAACATTTCGACCAAATGCGAAAATAATTTTTAATAATTCATTATTCATATTTAAGAGGTAATTTTGAAAAATATTGAAGTGAATAGGGGTAAAATCAAAGTTATTTTTTCAGGAAGCAGGAAGGGGGCATTGAAAAACTGTTAGAGTAATAAAAAATAAAGCTTTTGTTTTATAAATATAAAATCACTATTATATAAATAAACTAATGATAAAACTAAACTGAGAGTGTTTTAGTTTCTATGAACAGCTTTTTTATTTTGTTTATTGAGAAGTATAATATTTTGTCACTTGGACAATAATTATAATGAGGTAAGACTATATCCACACTATATATACAAAAAATATAAAATAAACAGAAGCAAAATAATCACTAAATAATAATAAAAGAGATTAAAGTTAAAAAAAAAAAAGTGTCAAAACGGTTTTTTGCTTTTCCTAAAAAATAACCTTTTCATGATGAACAATGCTTTACACACTGAATTAAACATGCCTATAGTCAGGGAACACATAAAAATAAGCTAAAAACAGTTTGATAATAAGTTGAACAAACAATCAAACCACCTAATAAAATAAATGGCCACAACTCGTACTCCAGAGAATACTAGAAAACTGAAAAGGATCTGAATGAGAGATCTATTCATATAATTTTGTAAATAAAAGCCATTGAAGGGATAACTAGATATTACATTCCTCATGCCCAAACTTGCTTTTATTTCATTTGTATGTTTTCTCATCTCATGATTATGAGCTAATCTGATGATTATCAATAATTATAATAATGTAGAGATGGTTGACCGTTAATATAATATGAGAAGGAGTTAGCCGAGGGTGCGGTCAAATAAATAAAAAAATTAAAATATATAAATTATTTTAATTTTGCCGACGTTTCGACCCACTTTGCAGGTCGTCTTCAGGGCGTAGGATGTGGCACTGCGGGAGGCAGTTGAAACACTGGCCATTATAAATTTTGGCAAGTGTTTCAACTGCCTCCCGCAGTGCCACATCCTACGCCCTGAAGACGACCTGCAAAGTGGGTCGAAACGTCGGCAAAATTAAAATAATTTATATATTTTAATTTTTTTATTTATTTGACCGCACCCTTGACTAACTCCTTCTCATCAATAATTATAATTGACAGATGCAGATTGATAAAAAAATATTATTTCATGTGCACTTAATAAACATTTTTGGTAAGCTCATGATATATATTTCATTCCAAGGAGGTACACTGGGAGCAACCGCAGCGATGCCTCTGTGTGGACTACTAGCCAGCAGTTCTGGAGGATGGCCTTCCATATTTTATTTTTCTGGTCTACTCGGCCTCACGTGGTCAGCGCTGTGGGCTTGGTTTGCTGCAGATAGTCCGGCAAAGCATCAGAGCATATCAGTCGAAGAAAAAGAATACATCCAGAAATCTCTTATGTATGTCTCAGAAGATGTATGTATCTGATGTTATTCTTTCAATTATAATACAAATTAATTAATTTATGAAAACTAATATAATTAATTGGCTATTAAATGAGGAAAGAATATCCAATATTTATTTGGAACCACTGATTACGTTAGGATCAACTTTGTTCTTTACATAAAAGAATAGTTTTCTATCAGCTGATGGTGAACAAAATCAACTTTTATAAAACAGAGATAGACGAATAGAAACTTTTTTTTAACTTCTATAATGAATGTTTTATCCCGTCTTTTAATAACCTGAAGCTTTTCAAATCTCAAAACACTAATTATTAAAAATATTATTTTGCCAAAAGTACTTAAGGTGATTTACGATTAGTCACATTCTTTGTCTAGATTCATAAGTAATTATTTACCAATTACATTATTTATAATTAACTAATGAAGTGTTATTTTTCAGAAAGCAAAGACACCTTGGTCGCAGATATTCACCTCTATACCATTTTGGGCTTTAATATTTGCTCATCTCGGAAATGGCTGGGCTTTCGCCGTCATTATAACTGAAATGCCATCATATATTAATTCAGTTCTTGGATTTAATATTGCAACAGTAAGTTAATGATGAAAAATTACTGACAGTACGCACAATATCAATTTTATAAGGGTAAAACGTTAATACTGTTTGTAATCTCATGAATTTTAGAAAAAGAAAATAATTATTTCTTTAAAAAATAATCTGTAAAAATGCAATAAATGTATATTTAAAGCCCTGAGGATGTAATAAAATCATAATAAATAATAAAATGTTCAACACAATAATATTTGATTGTTTCAAATGAAGTTGTATGTTAATTAAAAAAATCTTTCTAGAATGGTCTCCTTTCTGCTTTACCCTATTTGGCTATGTGGTTGCTGACATTCCCTGTGTGTTGGTTAGCGGATTATTTACAAAAAAATAAGATCATTCCAAACAGTGTAGCCAGGAAATTATGGACAACAATAGGTATGCTAAAAATATTTATTAATTAGTTACTATTTATTAAGTATTTTTGAAAAATCATATTATTATATAATGCATGCTATATTATATTATTATTGTATTGGATATTTGAATGAAAAAAAATAAAGTAGAACTATTTGGATCTAATTGTGTACACATATACCTTTAAATTCAAACTAAGATCTCATTATAAGTTATACTATTTGAGAGAGAATTTTCCTACCAACAACTTGTCGAAATAAATATTTATCATAATATTAATTTATAATCAAAACTAAAAGTGGTTAAGGGCCTTTTTCATGAAGACTGTCATGTATATTAACAAAATGAATATATGAATTATATTAACTTCTATCATGAATTTCTTTATGAAAATAATTGATTTTTAAAAATGTCTTTCTTTATTTTAGCACAAACAGGAGGTGCTATAATGCTTGTTTCAATGGGCTTTGTCGGAAGAGATGCAGTTGCTGCAATGACTCTGTTGACAATTACTGTGGCCCTGGCTGCGTTTCTTTTTAGCGGTTACAATATAAATCATCTCGATTTGTCGCCAAATTTTGCAGGCGTTTTAATGGGAATTGCCAACGGACTGGAAAATATCACAACTATACTGGCTCCTTTGACTGTAGGATGGGTTGTGGAGGATACTGTGAGTAGTTATGTCAATATTAAAGCTTAAAACATTAATATATTAGTTAAGGAAAATATGTTCAAGAATTTAATCATATAAATTAAATTTATTTATTCTTCACTTTACATCATTTCGGATTCGTTCAATGTCAAGTCATCATTTTATTAAAATATATATCAAAATAGGGAATGAGACACCAGTGAGTAAGACACTGTGCTCCTATACTCTCCAATTACCTCCTATCACAACTATTGACCAAGAAATAGTACTGTCTTACAAAGTTCTGAAACCAAGGATCTTCTTAATGTTGTATTGTGAACGATTTTTTTTTTAAATCATATTTTCCTCAATCATTACACACACAGATAACTATGTGAGAAAAACAAATTAATAGATCAATTTTTATTATTGTTAAACTAGCTTAAAATTAAATTTTCTTGGGAATAAAATGTGCATTAAAAAATGTGGTAATTTTCAATTAAAGACGAGAATTCATACTAGAGATAGATAAATGTCACAACTACATTACACACATCTAATAGCCAATTATATTTAACAATGACATACAATGTAGTAGATAACATATGATAACTTTTTAAAAATTAACATACTTAAACTAAAACTACCGGAAAATTGAGAAAGCCATCTAATGGGGAATCACTTAAGGGGAAGCCATCTAAAAGGAAACACTTACCAGGTACAAGTGATATGGTAAATACAAACAATTTGAAGAATTACCATCATGGCAACAGAAATAGTAAAAGTTAATGGGTAATGAATAAGTACTAATTAACAAATGAAAGATAAAATATTGTGAGATGGGAAAACTGCTAATTAGATTTTACAAAACATGACTAAATAACCCTAATATCTCCATTTTTGAAGCTAGATTTTTCCTCTTTCTTTTCTAAAATATTCCAAAATGACTATTTAAAGTCAACATTTCAATCGTCCATTTTTTGTTTGTTTTGTTCTGATATTTCTAGAACGGAACTTATGTCTATGTCTTAAGTGCTCAAACAATAAAAAAATACTGCTAAAACCAGTCTATAGAATACTCTATTTCAATTGATAAAAATTTTAAATTATTAAAATCAAAAATATTTGTCTGTATGAGGATACAGATGAGGTGTAGGAGGAGAAAGTAAAAAAAATAAATTAATCAATATAAAAGTAAATAGAAATAAATGTAAATAAGTAATATAATATAAATTTAAAAAAATATATAAAACAAAAATAAATAATAAATAATTATTATATTTATTTTATTAAATTGACATTAGTAAGAAAATATATCAGTATTACAGTTTCCCAAAGTTATCGAAATGATTCGTAATGTCTATTTTTATGAAATAGACATAATTCAAATTAGTAATACCTAGTTCACAACTGCCTCTGCCTTATAGGGTAAGTGGAAAATGAGAATAAAACTGTTAGTTACAATTTTATTTGAATTTACTTAAACAATAATAGGCTGACTTTTAGCTTTTGCTTTGGAATTTTCCTGAACTAAAGTTCAGTCCTGATCAGGTACATTATATATATATATATATATATATATATATATATATATATATATATATATATATTTATTAGTCATATCTTTTAGGTTCATTGCCATTTTTTAAAAGTTTTTTATAAAATATTAGGCCTAAGGTCACTATGGTGGTGACTATTGGCCTAATATTTTGTGTATATATATATTTTTTTTTTTTCAATGGATAACGGATTTGAAATTTTTTTTGATAAATCTCTTTCTTTTATAGAAATCTGTCGAACAATGGAGAATCGTTTTTATTATTTCTGCTTTTGTTTCCATCACTGGAAATCTTATATTCCTTATCTTTGGATCCACTGAAACACAACCATGGAATACGATCAACCAGAAACCGAAAAAGAAAGAAAACGAAATAAATATACCTTAATGATTAAGTAATTAGCACGTAGCAATTTTTGTATTATATCTAAACTGTGACAAAAAAGAGAATCAAAAGCAAATTTAAAACAAATAGACTCTTCCTGTAATAATGTTAGTTGTCAGAATACCAAACTATTATATTTTTTTAATTGTTTGCCAAAGATGAATGAAGACAGTTCTTCATAATAATTGGTTCAATAGATCTTTACAAAATATTAACAATTAACACTGAACAAATATTTAACTGATTAATTACTCATGAATAAGACTGAATACGGATGGTATTGTAATAATTATTTCTATTTTTCTTAAATATTTTTATATAAGAATTTTTATGATTATTGTTTATATGTGAAAATTCTTATTACAGTTGATAGTGTATTTTTTCCTGATAATTAATTTTTTTTAAGTATTTATATTATAATTTTAACTATTTAACAATATTATTAATATAATTAAAAAAAACAAAAGTAACAATTACGAACATTTTTAACCTTAAATGTACCATAGCTAATTTTTATTTCAGATCTGATGTTAGACATAAGCCATATTATATCTTATATTGTTTTTGTACAAAGTTTTATAGATATGTAAGCCGAATAAAGAAAAAATTGTTTTATTATTTAAGTTATGCTGCTAAAAATATGTTACATAATGAATATGAAGAAACAATTGTAACAAATAATTTTAAGAATGTGCCTACCTTAAGAAAATAAAATTATTTAATGATTTCACAACCTATCAACTATGTAAATTAAATGTATTATAAATATATTTATGTTTCTTGTATACGTGATGCCTTTGAAAAAAAATAATTTCAGAACTAGTTGAATAATGAATGGTCCATATAAAAAAGCACAAATCTTCCGAATTTAAACATAAAAAAGTTGAAGTGAAAAAGAAAGAGAGCAAATGAAAGAAAGATTTATGATTTAATAATCAAAGCTATAAGGGATCAAGTAAGGTCCTTGATATCATCGACCTGGATACTATGAAGTGATAAACTGTATCAATAATAATGTATTATTAACTGTATTTCAATTTTACTTATTAAATAAAAATCCTACTAAAATCAAGACTTTGAAAACAACACATACAATTTATTAATAAAAATACTGTTAATGAATTTTTTTTTTCATTTTGTACATACTACAATATATTTCTTATTTTAATTAAATATAAAAAAAAATATATAAACTCAAGACAGATTTTACAAAACTAAAAATATAATTATGTCTTAAATATAAGTAAGTTATGTCTATTTTAATAATTATTATACTGCCATATCAAAACTTAAGGAACAACCTTCAACACAACTCATAAGGTTGATGGATTTAATATATATAAAATTACCTTCTTTTTTTTTTTTTTTTTATTTAAGATTAATCGAGGACAGGAGAATCAAAACTTTTTCGTCCGTGAGCCACATTGAAACCTCGACTTAGTTCTGCAGGCCGCATTGAGACCTCTGAAAGTCCCACATAGCCAATACTTGTAATGAAAAAAAAAAAACTTTTTTATAAATGAGGTTACAGCAGTGAAATGAGCTTTTTAAGAGAAAAAAAACCCATGCAACAAAAAGCTAACTTTTCCAGTGCCATCGTGAATTCAGAATACTTAAATAATTAGTGTTAGCAAAAGATGTTTCGAATAACATCAATTTTTCTATAAAGATGGCACTCAAAAGTTTATTGGTTTTTAAGCTGAATCTTAAATCATAAAAGTTATAGAATATCACTTTCTTAAAATAGCTAGTCTAAATAATGCGATTTATTTTAAGAATTAAATAACTACAATTTACATATTTTAAAAAATGAAATTTAATTAGTCATTGTAAATTAAATGTCCTTTGACTGTTTTCATACTTATTTAAAAGACTGGATGTATTGAAACTGTTAAAAAGTTTGGTCAGGTCATTTTCACTTTGTCTAACATAAATATCTGAAAGACTTGGCAATTGCTGAATAATGTTTCTTGTCAAATTTTTCAGTTTTTTGTCAATATTTTCATCATTAAGTGCTGCATTATTGGTAAGATTTGAAGTTTCAGTATCAAGCTGGTTTCCTATATCTCTAATAAATTCTTTAGTATTTGTATTCAGAACTTCTGATTCTAATAAACCATTACTGAGTATTTTATTATTTTCTGTTTCTATATCTACATTATTCCGGACATCTATAGATGGTTGATCAATTACAGAATTTTGTTCCTCCTTATTAAAATGGCTCATGTGATTATTACAAAGATTATAACCTGAAGAATTCAAGTTTGAGAATAAATTTGATCTTGGATATTGGGGATGCCATAAAATTGGCCAAGAGTTATTCCTCATCAACCAATTGTAATTGGTCCTTGGTGGATATAAGCCACTCTTCTTCCTTATGTTCAAATCTGTCAATCCACTTCCTAGAAGATCCAGGTTATAAAGATTGGAAACATCCCCTTTGGTATAGGGTTTGGGTAAATAGTAATCCTTTAACAGAATATTTTTAAGATGTTGGGATAAATTTAAATTTGAAAATTGTGGCAGAAATTGATTTTTGATTCCTTCAATTATTAAGTCATTTGTCTCATTTTTGTTGTTTAACAGGTCATCAGAGGAAATGCCTTCTATTATAGGATTTCTGTGATCCCGAGGTACATATGAAGAAAAATAATTCGACACATCGTCTAAAAAAAATCAGTATTTTAAGTAATTTAATCTATTCATTAAAATTTAAGTAAAAATAATTATACCCACCGTTTCCTACATCGTAACTCATACAACATCGTAAAGAGGTTAATGCAGCTACTATTATCACTATTAGCATTAATTTGAAAATAAATAAGAAAGTTTAAAGTGAACCTTCATTATAGAAAAAAAAAAGTATTGACAAGAATTGAATAACCTAGTAAAAGGTTTCAATACTAAATGTACACAAACCCTAACATTTGTAATTTTTCAATTAAATAAAATCGATTGATTTCAAGTTTTCTATTTGAAGATTTATTAAAATTTATTCAAAACTATTTAAAATCTTACTCTTTATGTTATATGTTATAATGTGTTTACAATAATTTTAAACATTAGTGGATCAAGGATTTAATTTTTTTGGGGGGAGGGGCTTCAGCCCGAAAGCTTTTTTGTTTTCATATATATAACGAGAATTACTTTGGAAAAAAAGAAAGATACCAATTACCTATATGAAATGGTGTTTAAGTGATTCGTGAAGTCCTATTAAATGTGATTACACCAACAATAATACTTTAAGAGATATTTTTTCCAATAAACATGGTTACATTTTACCATTTTGGGGCAGAGGGCGCTTCAGCCTTCAGCTAAAGTCCCCCCGTACATTCGCCTGTGGTTATAAATAACTGCATCATGAAATATGGTTGCCAATGTGGATTTAGGAACTACCGATCAAATATTTACAGAGAATAAACAGGTTCGATTTCCTGTGACGATTCTCCTTACCTCTTATTTTTCATATTAAGATAACCATTGATACGGATCCGATCAGAGGTAGGTACAGAAACCACGGGCGGATCTACGGGGGGGGAGAGGAATTTCGGGCTGAAGTCCTCCCTCCCTTTTAAAATGGTAAAATATAACCATTGAATGAAAAAAATATTTAATAATTACTTCTAAAAGTATTATTGTTTTTGTAATTACAATTAATAGTACTTACAGAATCACTTAAACTCTATTTCATGTAGGAAGTTAGTTCCTTTATTTTTCTTCCTAAGTAATTATCGTTATATATTTAAAAAAAATCTTTCGGGCTGAAGCCCCCCAAAATTAAATCCTGGATCCGCTAGTAGAAACCTCTGATGATTTTCGAACAATAGGAAGTTGTTCCCTGAGCTTGCTTTTTTGCACTATTATTTTGAACTGTGTTTATTACAGATTAATAAAACATAGAAACGCAGAAAGATGAGAACAAGAAACATAAGGTTTACACGTTTCTGGAAGTCCAGAGAAACAACCATGGCAGATTTTGTGAATAGCATCTAACCTAACTTATTGTAATTTTAAAAAGAAAGCCAAAGTAAATGAAAACATGCTAAAAATTCATTAAAGAAGGTGGATGAATAAAATTCATTTAAATCTTAACCAGAAACAGTTAAATTTACCAGCATTATAATGACTAGAATGGATCATCTCTGAATGTTTCTTTCTGATCGAGTCCTATCTAACTGACAATTGTTTGTAGTAAATTATTGAGTAAGAGATGAAATATTGGATATGCCCTTCCTACAACCGTCTCCATAAATATTTATATGTATATGCATGCATCTTTACTAAGTACCTATTTTAACATCATGACAGCAAGTTTCATTTTCAGAGTTCTATGTGTTACGCTGATTGTTATGGATGCAGTTGGTTGCTATGGATACATTTTTGTTTCATCAGAAGAAATCATGGTAGCTTACTCCACCTTGCGTTATCTATCCATTTGTATAGATATATTTCTAACCAGAATGTTTAAGTCAAAAAGGGGCCAAGAAGTGCTTCTCCGCTGTTGAATGGAGCGAAATGCGTCCTCCTAAATTAAGAGGTTTTGCCATATCCTTATAGAATATGGTTGTTGATGGCCTTCATATTCTTGGTAAGGACACCACAGAAGCAAGAAATCTCCAATCGAGCATCGATTAGAATCCCAGCAAATGGAGACACATTCTTCGGGAAGGATCAACGGAAGAGTCGAATAATGGTGAATACCAAGCCCAAAATGATTTATCTTGAGAAAGTTGCACCCAGACTTCCAGAAGTCTAAGACATAAAGAAGATGTTAAGCAATCATAACCCTGTCGAAATGTGACCCCCTCAAAAATTGAAAACCCCGCCAAAAAGTGCCCCCTTCATTAATTTCGATGGCGCAACTTCGCCATGAAACCTTCTTCTGGCACTCCTGTTTTTCGATGTCGCTGCGCTGACGTCTAAAACGTTGATGAATTAGAGCATTTCAATAATTCATATGTAACCCTCAGACATTTGATTTTATAAATTATTGGTATTCTATTGTATTAAATATCTTTATATATTACTTTTCAACGGTGTTATTGGTCGATATCTTTGTTATTTATTCATCAGTTCTAATGATTAAACCATAAATTTTAAGATTCTGCTGTGGAAAATAAGCACATCCACAAAAAGTTTTTAAAAAAAATTATGAACAAGAGGAATCTTTATCTGGGTGTAACTCAAAGACTAAATGAGCCTTTCAGTTGACAGAATGACTAACTCCGATTTCAACATCTTTGTGTCAAGTCATTTTAGTGATATTTCAAGTTGGACAAATTTATAATGTGTGTAAGTTTATTCCAGTGTTGAAATATAGAACTGTGAATAAATGTATAAATTTTCTCACTAGAAATCTCATAAAATTAATAATAAAAAGTGTTAAAATTGGAGTTAGTCTTCTGTCAACTGAAAGGCTTATATCATTTATCCTGAATTATATGGGTGATAATTAAAAATGTTTCCCAAGCTCTAAAAATTTTTGAAAAAAATGATAGAAATAGCACCATTTTTAACAAAGATACAACAGCTATTTGATTTTGTTCATATATTTTGGTTTATTATTATTAATGGAAATTAATTTCACCCTCTCAATAATACGTAACATTCACATATTCCTATATGATATTGATTTACTGATTTATATGCTGTGAAAAACATTTGCAGGAGCCAACTAATTTCATGGTATTAATGTAAAAATCATTAACTAAAATTTTAGAAAATTAAAATTCTAAGTAATTTGATGAATTTTTCCTACGCAAAATATAAATGCATTTAGTGTTGCTATTTATGGTATATAAGACGTTATTTTGTTTCAGTAAATGCGATCGAAATTTAAAATTTAGTTCCATCAAAAGCATACTTAGTTAATCATTTAAATTAACAACTACTTACCTTGGAGAATTATAGATCATTTTTGAATCTTGGGATCATTGTTAATATAGGAAAATAAAGACGCTAATTTAAAAAATGTGAAATAAATAAGACTTTATTATCCTTTTATTTGTAACTTGTATATAAGGCATGTGAAGGCATAGGAATTGTGCTCAAAATATCAGGCTTTAAATCTCAAATGGCAGTATTTCAAGAGCATTTGCATCAGAAAGTTTTGGAAGATTTCAAAATTTTATGGTGAATCTTCTATAAGAAGAAGTTGTTCATCAGAATCAGATGGAGTACAGACAAAAAACTCAACCAAATTCAGCAAAGGGCCTCTCGAAAAGGGATTCAAGTATTTGCCTTTCTTATCCCTTAAGTATGGGTACCTCTTGTAATTGAACATTTCATTGGTTGTCAGATTCATGCAAGCATGGAGAATCTAAAACATAAAAAAATAACTAGTATATATATTCTATACATAACAATATTATAACCAACAAAATTAATCAGTGGCATAAGTATAATGTTGGAGGCCCATGGCAGCGATGTTTTGAGGTATATTAAGGTTCTTACTCAAAATTTCAAAATGTGGCAATGTCCTATACAAAATTATACAATGTTGGTTATTAACTGTATTACTACGTATAATATAATTTTATATTGCTATTTATTATAAAAATGTTGTGCTCAAAATACACTTTAAATCTAGGTTGGACTTTTAATGTAAGTAATAAGCTTCCTTGTTTATTTAAAGGTTTCAGTTTTTTTATAATTGAAAAACAATATCATCTATTGATAACTGTATGAACAAAGTTTCCAAAAAAAAAATTTTAGAATGCCTATCATTGTTTCTATTGTGCTCTTTAGATCAGTGTGTTTCATACCTTCCTATTAATAATTTTGCAAAGAGCGAGTTGAACATTTAAGTTATCGTATCTTTATGGTTAAATAAAGATTTTAGAATTATTCTGAGGTATGTCCATAACTGGTACCGACCCCCTGTCCATTACTAGAACAATTGAATTTCGAAGTGTCCACCATTAGTGTAAAAAGGTGTTTCTTTTAAATAGTGATTATACCTGCATAACTGAATATTTTGTCAATTTTAAAGTGTTAAATAGAAAAAGAAGACCCCTGAAACTCTAAATGTGTGCAGTATGTTCTGTTAAGGCTGAAGCCCCTTATACCTAACATATATTTTGGTGAACCTCCGAAACTCGCTTGCCTTTTTTGAAATATAAAATATGCCGAAAATACACTTTATCTTTTTACATATTCACTACGCTGTAGCACAAACAAAACCAATGCCATTGAAATCAGACACAACAGTTTCGAAGAGCGGAAAGTGAGCTTCCCGATAAATATCATTATTGGCAGGTAAGGCAAAGAGAACTGGAGATATTTGAAAACAATTCGCACTACTAACAAAAATCGAACGAACTTATGGATCCATCCAACAGCATATTGTAGGTTATGACAGTTGGTTAGTTCGACCTATTTATGGTTCGGTAAAGCTTCTTATACTTATTTTCTATTCAATTATAACAAAAATAGATCAATTGTTATTCGGAGTTATTCGTATTAATTAACATTATTATTAAGTTTTTTTTCTCAAACATTACAATTATTTTTGACGACATAAGACAGCGTAAGTGCTCCCAACTTCGAGAAGAAAAAAACCAATAGTGGTCCACTTGTGAATTACTTGTAAATATTTTTTTATTTATTTATACATGATATTTACAACTGTATTAAAAAATTAAATACATTAAGTAAATTTGATAACAGAAAATAAAAACATGAAATGACTTGTTGAGAAACTACCCACTGGTAGCACTCTAAAAACAAAATGTATTCACAATAAGAGATCTCGAGGCCATCTTCTTTTCAGACGCCTCGGAGGGTTATCAGGAATAGAAGAGGAAGCAAGGTTAAAGACGAGAGGATTCGGATGGTTCTGAAGTTTATTATGGAAAGATTGGTATCTGGATTGGGCCAAATCGGAAACATAAGGAACATTAAGGTCATTATGGATTATTTTATTGGTGACAAAGTAAGGAGCATTGAGGATTTTCCGAAGGATTTTGGATTGTAAGGATTGGATACGAGAGGAATTTGATGGCTTAGTGGAGCCCCAAAGCTCAACTCCGTAAGTCCAAATAGGTCTTATTGTAGTCATGTATATAAGTCTTTTGTAATTTACTGGAAGCTTAGAGCGTTTGTCTAGTAAGTGTTGGAGTAGTCGGAAACGTCGAGCGGTTTCTTGTCGTTTCAGTCTGGTATGAGGATTCCAAGTTAGACGTTTGTCCAAGTGAAGTCCAAGGTATCGGATTTGTTCAACAGGGATAAGTGGGGTATTATTAAAGGATACTGTGGGACATGAGGTCATAGGTTTACGTCGAAGGGTAAAGGTGATTTGATGGGATTTATTAGAATTTATTTTAATCCTCCAGTTTTTACACCATTCTTCAAGGCTTGTGATGTGCGATTGAAGAGTTTGGGATGCAATGGTTGGGTCATTATTAACGGATAGGACACATGTATCATCGGCATACGTGGTAATAACAGTGTTAGGATGGGTTGGGATGTCAGCTGTATAAACTGTGTAAAGGATAGGACCAAGGATACTACCTTGAGGAACACCAGCGGACTGGGAAAAGAGGGATGAATAAGCATTATTGTGATTGACTTTTGAGTATCTATCAGTTAGATAGGAACGGATAATGAGGAAGTATGTAGGATGTAGGAATTTACGGAGTTTGTAAAGTAATCCCGGGTGCCAGACTCGATCAAAAGCCTGTTCTACATCGAGAAAGACTCCCGTGCAGTACATTCCGCGCTCTAATGCAGAGGAGACAACATCCACCACACGATGGCATTGCTGGATAGTGGAATGGGATCTGCGGAATCCAAACTGGTGATCTGGGATTATGTGATTAGAATCTAGGATTGGGTACAGGCGTTTTAGGATGAGTTTTTCTAGGACTTTTCCCATGATGGGTAAAAGAGAGATAGGACGGTAAGAGGATGGGTATTCTGGTGGCTTTTTGGGTTTATGTATCATTTTGATAATGGATAGTTTCCAAGGGTCGGGAAAATATGTTGAGCGGAGTACAGCATTATATATATATGTAAGGAATAGAATGGCTTTCCGAGGAAGTAGTTTTAGGATCTGGGATGTAATTAGGTCGTGTCCAGGAGCTTTACGGGAAGGTAACCTGTGAATGATGTTGGATATTTCTGAAGGATGAAAGGCTTTAGGAGGAGGAGTCATTTGGAGTGGGATATCCAGTTCTGCTTCAATACATTCAAGGTGATTTGGGTTAAGAATATCGGGATGTGGATTAAAGGTTTTAAAGAGGTGGTGGGCAAATATTTGGGATTTTTCTTCGTCGGATTTGGACCAGGTTTGGGCTTCAGTGAGTAGTGGATGGTTGCAGTCCTTAAATTTCAGGAGCCTTTTAGTGGTCGTCCATAGTGATTTATCGGTAGGTGTAAGTTTTTCAGTAAAATTTATTAAATTTTGAATTTTGTATTTTCTTATTTCTGATTTCAGTTTGTTAGTCAGTTGGGTGTAATGCGCTTTATCTGTCGGGTATCTAGTTCGATGCCACTTCGATCTTGCTCTGCGTTTTTCCTTTAATAAGATGCGAATATGCTGTGGCAAGTTAGTATTTTGTGGTTTGTTAATCTTATTGATAAAGGTATTATTATTTATACTGTCTGTTATTGTTGATGTCAGTTTTTCTATGGCACCATTAATGTCTTCTTTTGTCTTTAGCGGAATTTTGAGGTCAAGTTTGTTTTCCAAATCATCACGAAATTTGTCCCAGTTTACTCGTCCAGTGATCAGTTTGGGAGGTGATGGTTTAGGAGCAAAGTCAGAATGTAATGAAAGCAGAACCGGACTATGGTCTGAAGAAAAGTCATCCAGGGATTTGATTATAGTTTGGGAGGAGGAAATCTGGGAGGTGATAAATATATCCAGGATATCGGGACGTTTTTTGAGGGATGTTGGCCAATAAGTAGGACTCATGGGCGAGAACTTGTAAATATATATATATATATATATATATATATATATATATATATATATATATATATATATATATATATATATATATATATATATAATGTATTATATTACATGATATATTAATAAAATGTATAAATTCAAATTACTTACCGATGTACAAGTTAGGATCCATCCTAGACCACAAAAGACTAAAGATTCTACCAGACCAATGAAATATATTAGGTCAAATCCTTGAATCGCCATACAATAACAAGCAAAATAAATTGCAAAAGAACAGTTAACAGCAACGCTCAGTACAAACAGTAAGAACCATATCCTGTAAATAAAGAAATAAAAAAAAGTTATTCATAGAAAATTAAATTGATTGGTTTGTGTGCTTATTTATATTATCGTACGTTCAAATAAAAAAAGGAAAGAGTAATGTTTAAGATAGTCTTTCGTTCTTATAATGTTAAAAGAATTTGCGAGAACCAGAGTAATCGATATCTTGAAGGCGTGTTTACAATTAAATCATAATTCCTTGGCCGACACGAACGTGTAAATGGGGTATTTGGTTTGGCTCGCCTTGATTTCGCTGTGTATCGTGTTTTGGTGTAGTATAACAACACAGAATAATAATAAAATTGTTTAATTAAGGTAATAACCAATCGCAGTACTTGACATAACAATAGCTCAGACAACAGTTTCTTCATATGCAAGTTGATTATGTATTCATTAAGACCAGTTATGATGTTATTAAATTATCTAATGAGACATTCTGCATCTTAAAAATTTTCAGCAAAAATTATTAACACAAATTATTATAATACCTTTTGTTTTACGCGTTTCTGTGACGTAATTTCTATTAATATATTAATTAAAATGCATTTTGAATTTATATAAAATACATAAAAATATTGTTTTTTTTCGAAATACATATATGCTGTTGATCAATTCTTTAAAAATAAAAATAGTTTGAAAAAAAAACTTCTACATACATAAGCATGTAAATACACCCGTTAGTTGTTGTTTTTTTTTTTTTTGTACATCAAACGCCTCTGGAGCAGGGATCTGCTGCATTAAGAGTCACGTTAGGAGTGCCTTCACTGGGAGGTTTCTCCAATCACGCACTCACACTAATCCCGAAGAGGAGGTTCGCTAACGAACATCACATTTACAAAATATGCCAAAAGGCATTTGTAAAATTGCTCAATAAATAAATTTATTATTATTATTTTGTACATGTTGGAAACATGTAAATGCTCTTTAGAACATTGAATAGCATGATCAAGCAGTTCCGTATAGCTAGTAGTAATTATTGCTTATTATTGGCAAAAACCTAAACTCATCGCTGATTTCGTCTATGACATTGTAAATACATGGAATTCTTATTTCATGACGAGCTCCTAAACTCATCTATAGAAACCATTGATTGAATTCAGCATGTTCCTCTATTCACCGATGGCCAAAGGCTTTGGGGTTGACGAATCCGCAGGATGTACGGGTATAATTTTATTATAATCTCAGTGTTCTTATTTCTCCATTTATTTTGCATGTTTGTATTTAATTTACCTTCTTTCTATATTTATTTATGTTTGCAAAGTAAAAAAAAAAATAGGTGGGTATTTATAATTTTTCAGGAGTAATAACCTTCAGCTGGATTCCAAGGCCTTAACTCAGCATAAATCACTACCCATCCGTGATAGAGCCAATCAATTGATGGATTCCACCGAAGGAACTAGCGCTAAATTTAAAGTGGATGGGGTGGCCTAGCAGATTAACACAAATGCAAGACACGCGCTGTCCAGCAACCTGATAAATTAAAGATCAAGATTTCGAGTTCCTGTGCCTAGGGCTTTTAACTCTAGCAGTAATCCTCTACCTTCTCCTCTGGCCTGAGAAAAAAAAAAAAAAAAAAACGTTTAGCCGTGAAGCAGGAGAACCCCTCTTTTAATTAGAAGTAAAAAAGTGGCCATTAATTATATTTCTAAATTATGCCCTCTAATCGATCACCCGACACATAGATATATTTTCAATCCAAAAATTCTCCAAAGTTTTTGAAAATAAATCAAATTCAACCCTTGCTTCGTCAGAAAGAATTAACTTAGGTACTGCATTCCTCAGTACAGTTACCTTCAGAAAAACAAAAACATTACGATCCTCCACGGATAAACAAACCACCAAAAAACAAATTAAACTTATCAAAATTACCGAAAAACAAAACAAGGCCTTGGAGGATATAGGCACCCCTGAGCCTGCAGCAAAATGTCAACATTGCTAAATAATAAATCAAACGATTTGCTAAACAAGTTTAAATTTGAGTTTCTTTTTTTTTAACTTAATAATTTATTGTTGAGACTATTGAAATGAAGATTAGATAGGCGTTGATGGCCTCGGGGTTTTACAGCTCTAAATCCTAAATAACAGCAACGACCCATTTAGCTGAATAAACGAGGTGGAGGAGAAAAAAAACACACCAAGTTTAAGAAGTTGCTGTTTTTTGGGGGGCGGGAGTCCTCCTCTTCCTCGCCACTATAAAGAGTTTTCCCGGGCCAGGGAGTGTGGGCGAGGATTTAAAAGACTCCTCCGGCACCGGGACGCGAACTTATGACTATTTAATATCAATTGTCTCATATATCAGGTCACCAGGCAACGGTGGTGCTGTAGACACACGTAGACACCCTTCGGTCACACCGCCCACGACGTAAAAAGTTGCTCTATTATTTACGAAATATCTACTGCTACTTATCACACATTCTAAAAAAATTTGGATGTTAGTTATTGATCGATACCTGTTTTTGACCCCGATGCAGTTGTGAATGAAGGGGCAGTGGTGGTCGAAGTAGGCGACGCACCTGTTGCAGATCCTGCAGTGCTTGGCCCGCAGTGGGCGCACGCAGTGGCAGGAGTGGCACAGCCGGCTCAGGACGATGTCTCGTCTCTTCAGCTTGTCGTAATAAGGGATCTGCAATAGAAAATAACACTGAACCACGCTGGTCATTGTCAGGACTCCATTAGCATATTTACAAAAAGGTCTCGAGGCCACTGCCGTTCCAACGTCCGGAGAGGATTATAGGGATGTTTGGAGCTAGATAGGGATTGACCTAGTGGATTAGGATGGTGAATAAGGTTCTGGTGAATCTGGATGGGGTGATGTCAAGGACATATGTTAAGTTTAAAAATAAAACTAATAACTGTATATTTACAGACCTGCTTAATCGCCTGGTAATAGCATTCCGAGTTCTGCGGGATATAACCAGGGTTCCTCCGGTTAGCAACGACCCAAGCCAGCCACATCACCAGGTTCCAATAGATGAAGCAGTAATGAGAACCCCGGATCAAGCTCCATGTAACTGGAACACACTTCACACTCATTTGGTTAAAATCCAGATAATGTAAAGACAAAGGATGTAAAATCATTTATCCAATAAAACAATGAATACTATGTCTAAGTATAAACTAGTTAAAAATAATGATACAGTTGAAACCAAAGAGAGATTTGAGGTAGGAGTAACAGATACATTATTCAAAATATTGGCATAGAATCATATCCATGTATTGAACATAGCAAATGAGGTTTTAAAATTATTATCAGATGTAGAAAACAAAGGTGAACGAAACCGACTTCTGACATCAAAAACAGCGTCAAGGTGGTGGAGCAGGCAGATAAGGACCGAAATGTACCTGGACCCTGCGGAAGGCTCGAGTAAAAACTAGTAACCGGCTAAGTAACTGGTTCCTTTTAGGGTGTTACCAGCCATTGTGAAGTAATAGGGTGAAGTTAGGAACCAATGAGAACCACCCTTGCCTCACCCTGAATATTTGTATGTAATACGCCGAGAAGTAAGAAAAGAGGTCTTATGATGATGTCCGGCCTTGAGGATGGGTCTGATGTTTTCTTCCAGCGTGGGGACTGAAGCCTTGGCCCAACATAGACCATGAAGATCCTGGTAGAGTTTTGGATCTGGTCTTGACAGATCACTTCGGATCTCCAGATGCAGCGATGAAATCTACCAACCACACCACTTCATAGACAATAGATAAGTTATAATTCCCAATCCTAATGTTATAATATTTCATGGCAAAAATTCTCAAAACAGTCCTTCTGAAATCATGCCTTCACAGTTAATTATTAAATTCATTGAATGTGTGTAATTAGAAAGCACGATAAACACAAACCAGCCTTTGAGAAAAGAAATTCAATGAATTAATTCTGAACTAATCAATATATTATAGATCCAAATTTATTTTACTAATTTTCTATTTGATGTTAGAAAATTTTGCTGATCCCCACAGTTCTAGTCCGTAAGTCCAAATAGGTTTCAGTATTGTCTTGTAGATCAGTAGCTTGTTTTCAATGGAAAGTTTAGATTTTCTGCTTAGTAGTCGGTATAGTTGGCCGTATCGTCGGTTGAGTTCTTGTCTTTTGAGTCTAGTATGCGGGTTCCAAGTTAGTCTTCGGTCTAAATGAAAGCCAAGATACCGGACTGTGTTTGAATAAGGAAGCTGGATGGAATTAAAGAGTACTGGTGGACAGGAATTGCGTCGGAGTGTGAAGGTAATATGTTGGCATTTAGTTTCATTAACTTTAATGCGCCAGTTATTACACCAGTGCTCAATCAAGGTGAGGTGACTTTGGAGATTTAAGGATGCTATTTCGGGATCAGAGTTGGATGATATATATGATATGATAGTTGGACATCAAGCGCATCCAATCCTTCCAGTCTAAAGTCCTTCGAACAATAGTCGATGCTCCTTTCTATGTATCCAACAAAACCCTACATCATGACCTTAACATCCCATTTGTCCAAGACCTTATCCCAGAAAAATTCTCCAAATTTCACCAGAACCTTACTTACCACCCAAATCCTCTTGCACAATCACTATCAAGCATCTCCCATCCCTATAATCCTCCAAGAAGGTTGAAACGGCAGTGGCCTCGCGACCTTTTGTAGATTATATAAATTGGAGTTCTGGCAATGGCCAGATTCTTCACTCAAGACATGTGTGTATGTGGCTAAAGTGCTCTCGACCAATCTCCGCTGGCTTTAGTTCCAGTGACGCGGTTGGAAGAGTAGCGCAGGGTTCTCCTGGAGTTCCCTCGCCTGATTGTATAGAGGTATGCATGTTATTTTTTTTTCCTTAGTTTTAATTTTCTTATTTTTTAGGTTATTTTATTTTATTGTCTATTGTATATACTTTTGATTATTATTTTGTTCTATTTATTTTATTTTTTTTTGTACATATGGTGTGAATGTCATCCTACCTCACTATAACCAATGTCCAACAGACAGATTGTTATAATACTCAATAAAGAAATTTAAAAAAATTTTCTATTTAACATTTCTGGGTAATTATCATCAATATTTATCCAGTGAAATCCCGAATAAAAATTTAAACGCCCCAAAACATAGCAATTTTTAATGTCATCCCTTTTGTGGGAATAAAACGTAGAACCATTTTGAAAAGTAAGAACTATCGGAGTCAAGAGGAGAGAATGCCTTTGGGATAAAGGCTCCAATCCCATTTTTTTCTATGGATAATCTAAGCCAAAAAATTATAAAATAAATTGAAATTGAAATGGAAACATATTTATTAAACCTTTCGACAGTAACTGAGAACTTGTTTCAACAGATTTAAAATTGACTTATATGCTAAGTATGAATTATTTTTTTTTTGCCATTTTAAAAAGAAAATCATTGAAAGTTTAAATAAGAATTTAAACGATAGATAAAATAAATAAATAATGTAACGAAGAACGGAACTAATCTAAAACAAATACACATAAAAATATTTCTTGACTTGTTAACCTAACGTCGTTTTATGTCTATCTAAGTAACTTATCACATAATAGTCTGACATTGAATATTAATTATATAGATAAGAATAGTGGTGGAGAACAGTAAGCAATAACTTGAGGTTGGAAGACTATTTAGATAAAGAAATGCTCCACTATAAATGCTGCTCTCTAGGTGAGTATGCAACAAGATCTCTTAGGCTATTCTTCTCAATATAAAATCAGTGAATAATTAGTTTAACCTAGAAACAAATCAAACAACACAATTCTGTTCGATAATATTTTAATCAAACTTCCGTTATATTTACAACATAGATTCTTTCGTTTATATTATATACACGATTTCCCATAAGTAGATTGAAATATTTAAAGCATTGATAGTAGACATCAACATCTACAAAATAGTTCATATAAATAATTGCCCAATTTCCAACAGAAAAGAAAGAAATTTAAGATTAGTATTTTTTAAGTCAGTTACATTTTTTGTTGAATAGGAAGCAATAACTTAAAAACATTTTATTTAAGTAACTAAACATTGCTCCTTAGTAAAGTAGGTAAAATTTGCTTTAAACTAAAGTAGAGTTTGTCATTGTTATACACATTTAAAGAGAACTAGTGAGCGGACAAACAAAGCTAAGTTTCGTTAAAAAAATAAATTATTTGTATTTTTTTAATTACCGTTTAACTGAACTACATTTACCCCACTTTTAGAAAAACTTCTTTGTTTAATAATATTTAAGTCCAAATTAGTTAAGTTGAGATTTATCAAGAAAAATTTGAGATTCCCCCCAAGTTATGTTAAGAAATTGTGTGATTTCCTATCAGGTCTCCTTAAAGTACTCGTGTTTTCTGCAAAACTGACTGCAATTAACTGTTACAAAGCGTTTATTAGCCTGATATGGGATGTATTATAATAAACAGAATTACCTAAAAACACATTTTATTTATAAATATAAAAAATTTAAAAAAATTCATGTTAATTTAAGTTAATTTAAATAATTTTCAAGTAAAGTGGTTACGGAACTGTGTTTTCCTTACTAAAATTTACGGTAAAAATAAAAATATCTGGCGTGTCCACTCACACGACTTTCCTATCTATTTCAGAAAAGTTTTTATATATTTACGTATGTTCATGAAGAAAAAAAAAAATTTAATTAGATTTATTTTCCTGAAAATTGTTCAAAGAAAAGATTTGAGTAAAGATTTGATAAACTAAAGCAATGTAAACCGGCTTAAGGTAGATCAGTGTAAATATTTCAATACACTCTAATATTGCTGATCAAAAACTTTTTGGCACAGCTTACTATTGTCAAACAATAATTTCTGTTAAAAGTAAAGAGGAAAGCTAAACTTGTGTGATGCGGGCACCAGACTTTTTTCTTTCACTTACTTTTCTTTTTTCTCTCTCCCATTTGAGCTCGTAATCTTACATTAGAGATTAAATAGCTGTAACTTTGTTAATAATTTTCCCAAATGAACGATTTTTATTTAGTTTTATAGGAAATTTCACAACCTTTAAAAAAAAAGTGTTTTTGGAACTCAAGGGGCTCTGAAACGTATAAATCTGTCGAAAGCTGATATCGGAAATTTGGCCCGATTGCAGTACTTTCCTTACCTAGTATAGGTAGGAAAGTAAAAACGTACTGATAGCTTCAATTATTTTCATGAAAATATAAATATCAGGGCTAGAAACATTATGTTTGTCACTTATAAATATACATCAATTTCTATGACAGAAATCTGGGAGAAAAACACAATTTCAGAACCACTTTACATAAAAAATATTTGAAAAATCATTGTTATTTTTTGTTGTTTTTTTTATAAATAAAATGTGTTTATAGGCAATTATGTTTACTAGAATACACTCCATATCACGAAAAAACAATAATACAGAACAAAATAAATAAAATAAAAAAGAAATAAAAGCAACAGTTAATTATAGTTGTGGATCCGTATCCTAGTTCCGAGATTTTAGAGACAATATTTAAATAATTATGAACTCGGTAATAATTGGTGGGAAGGATTTTACCAGATTGGTTCTAAAGGGATAGGTTGTGATGCTATCTATACCTTGCCATTGCTCCATAAGGACCATGCTTTGTAGCAACGTGAGGTTGGGCGATCCCCTCCGGAATATCTGTGTAAAAAAATATATAAAATGATGTAAAAATATAACGTCGCGCGGCCATTGATCTCCGTGGTAATAAATGTGTGTTTGTGTTATACATACTTATATAGTAAATAAGACAAAAATATTCATATTGAACAATTTTTCAGAGTGTCATGTGATAAACATATATGAAGAAAACCTTAGAAAAATAAGAAGATTTTTTTTTCTTACTCCTCTTGACTTTCGATCATCCGCTTCTTGCAGCTTGGGCTGATATCGTTTGGCTCTCTTGATGGTCCAATCTGTTTTTTTAAGGTATAAGATTATTAGCCCCAGGTCCAACCTCCACCTCAGGAGGACCAGAAGCTATGGTCTAATATACAGGGGTCGCTCACCTCCATATAAATCTTTGGTTGGAGACGACGTTACCGTCCATATGCGGGAATCGTATCCGCACCAGTAATAGTGGTCAGAGCGATCGAGTAACGCCTGCACTTATTTATATTATTTTTTTTTTTTTTTTATCTTTTTGTTATTATATCCTTCGAATGCGATTGGAACTCATACCTCCCAGAAAAACAGATGTCCACATTTTTTTTTTTCAAAACTGTTTTATTGACGTTATATGATAGATTAAGGAAAACACAAAAATCTTATAAGATCGAATTTTCAAAATAGTGGTTCTAACCAGATAAAAACATATTCCAAAAAATAACTATTGATGAGTCAAATGAACAAAAATATATAATTATTCTTTATATAATAAAGATTAAGTACACTGAGTAAAAATTATTTATTCTCTATTTTCTTCATTCTGATTTTCTGATAAAGAACGAATGATTAAGAATACACTTTGATTTTATGTGTATGTGGGTGGCTAAAGCACCCTCGCTCAATCTCCACTGGGTTTAGCCCCAGTGACGTGGTTGAGAGAGAAATGCAAGGATCTCCTGGAGTCATGCTTTTCCCTCAACAGTTGGAGGGACAAGCTTGGCTCGGTGTTTTCTCGCCTGCTTGTAAATAATGTATAAAGGTATGTATGCGTTCTTTTTTATATATTTTTTAGATTATTTTATACTTATTTATTGTATATATATTATTATTGTACATAGAGTGCGAATGTGATCTCTGAACACTATTTTAAATGTACTTTGAGACAGATAGTAATATTTTCAATAAAGATGAAAAAAAAAAAGATTTTATATATGTACTATGTATATTTGGTATTTGTTTGATATTAGCATTAGCTAAAATTAAAATAAAAAACTGCTGCGATTCACTCTATCGTGATCCAGTTAATTATATAAAGTATGTAATGAGAATAAACTATAGGAATTAAATAAGAATACTTTACCTTAAGGATATAAATTGGATATTCCCAAAAGAGAATGGAACCGATGAACAACAACAATGGTCCTTTGGAATCGCCAGCGCCACCAAACAGCAAGCCCCTTAAAAATAAAATAAAATTAAAATATATGTATGTATTGTATATTATATATGTATATATATATATATATTAGAGGTATAGTAGAAGATATATAAGATAAAATATTCTTTAACCTTTTTTTTTAAAGAAATATTTTCTTATCTGTTTCGATACTAATGTTGCCTTAGTTATGCTTTGATTTTAAAAAATAATAATTTACTTTTTTTTTCTTTTAATATTTAGTAGTTATTTTATATTAGGTAGATCTATAATATTTCTTACAATCTATTATCTTATTAAGGCTATACAATTAAACTTATTACTGTTCCATTTACAATCATTTTTTATAAAATTACTGCGTTGATTTGATCGTTGCGGTCCAGAAACTGGGATAAGTTTTAAAAAAATAATTGCACCAATTAGCAAAAAATTAATGATAACGGTAAAAACAGACTTAACAAGACTATGTAACGAACGCTGCGTCGGATTAAACGATAAGCGGACTAATCATAAAATATCTGCACGTTATAATTTCGGAAATTAACGAAAAGCCATAATCTCTCCAGAAAATAGTAGAATTCTAAAAACCCAAATTTAAATGTACAGCCGAAATATTGAACTTTTATCAGTTTCTTTGGGTTTTGAATTTAAATTTATTGATTTATTTTATTTCATTCTTTTTTTATTATTTGTTTTGATTCGTCCCTCAATGAACATCCACATCACAAAAACAATAGAAGAGTAAAAATTACAAAACAGATTCTAAATATTTAGTAACATACTATACAATTAAAAGAGTAAATAATTAGATCCAAAGGTTAATAATATCTCCTATAGCAAACAACCAATTATTGGCTCTCGAAATGTTGATGCTCCAGACAGTAGCCAGGCATATTTTTATTATTTTTATAACACATAAATTTCAAATTATGACAAAGGAGCACATCATACTTAAGGTAATTATAACATTTTATGTAATAACACTACATTAACATGTATTACAATATGCATTCTTTTATAATTAACTCTTTCCTAGCCATTAATCGCTATGAAAGTATGGATTTTTTTTTAATTTATGATATTTACAACTGCATTAAAAAAGATTGCATTAAGTAAATGTGATAATAGAAAATAAAAACATGAAAACACTTGTTGAGAAACTACCCACTGGTAGCACTTTAAAAAAACAAAAGTGTATTTACAATAGGAGATCTGGAGGCTAGATTGTTTTCAGACGTCTCAGAGGGTTATCAGGGATCGAGGAGGAAGCAAGGTTAGAAACGAGAGGGTTCGGATGGTTCTGAAGTTTGTTATGGAAGGATAGGTATCTGGATTGGCCCAATTCGGAAACATAAGCAACATTAAGGTCTTTATGGATGCTTTCATTAGTGACAAAGTAAGGAGCATTGAGGATTTTGGATTGTAAGGATTGGATGTGTGAGGAATTCGATGGCTTTGTGGACCCCCAAATCTCAACTCCGTATGACCAGATAGGACTTACTGTAGTCATGTATATGACTGTTTTGTAATTAACTGAAAGCTTAGAGGGTTTGTCTAGTAAGTGCTGGAGTAGTGTATGAAATTCAAATTTTGAAGATGGGAATAATTTTACCGAATCGTCAACTTGGCATATAATTCAACAAATAAACCAATTGTTTGAATACTTGGAAATTTTTATTGCCAATATAAAGAACATTTATATTAATATTCATATTTCAAAATTACTGGTTTTTCAAAAATGTCATAATATCCTTGAAAATATCTATAATTCAAGTCCGATAATGTTAACCATAGTTTTAAGCCGATATTTCTCATCGTTGCCATATTGCCATATATTGGCCTTTCGATATCCCATCGATATGCCTCAATAGTAGGCAAAAAAGCAGATGGATAGACTGAATCAACAAAGATGCAATAGAGTTGCATGTAGATAACTGGAAAGAAATAGCACAAGATAAGCAGAGATGGAGTAGGCTTGTTAAGGAAAAAATCTACAAAGTATGTAATCCAAACATGACAAAAAGAAAAGAAATGCGCGAACTTATTTCCGTGATACACCTATATTTAAAAAATAACTTCAAAAATAATCTTATTTCTTTGTTTGAAGTCCAATTCAATAAAATGCTAAATGCAAGTAAGTAACTGATGTTCACTTGTTTACATAAACACATACAAATTGTGATAGTATGTTTTTTAACTATTTCAGAGATTTTTTATTATTTTTTTTAGTAGGAGTTTCCACAAATAGTGGGTTTCCTTAACCTAAACCAGTCCACTCATCCCGTAGACCATGACCCATCATGGATTCCTCCACTTCGTTATTCCAGGTTTTCATTGTTCTTCTTTTTTCCCTAGTTTTCCATAAGTGGACTTCTTTGGGTAGCCTTCCTTCTGGCTACCCAAAGAAGTCCATTCTTTTCAAATGGTCATAACGGTTAACCATACCAGAGATTTTTAAATATATAATAAGTATATTATCAAGTATAATTATATTAGTGTATATTTATTAAATATAAATGTATTTTTAATTATATATATATATATATATATATATATATATATATATATATATATATCATCGGTTTATTGCAAAAAAAATCAGTTGAAAGTACTTTTTCGATGGAGTCAAACTTTTAAGAAATATTTCGAGAATTTCGAACCAAATTATTTTTCGAATAAAAAAAATACAGTAAGTGCATCGAAACGACACAAACCCTTTTGAACATTAAATTGTTTTGATTTCACAGAGAGAAAATTCAGAAGGAACTTGGATTCAAAAGGAAAGTGATTAAATTTAAGAAAAAGCTGCTTAATGAATATTTGCAATAAACCCATGATATATAATTACATATATTGTCACTATTTATTGTTCTTTAATAGAAATATTTTTTTTTTTTTTTTTTGTTGTTTCGTGTAAAATTTATTTTTAGGGAAATAGTTTTACCATAATTCTGTGATTGGAGGCATCCACCTCTGTCGCCTTTTATATTCCGTTACTAAAATCTTCACGATGTCGTCATGGCGATGGCTCTTGGCTAGCATCAAAGGCGTTTTCTCATTTTTGTCTCTAGGATCTAAGTCAATTTTACTCTGAAAACAAATAAGTACAAATGCATGTGAATATATAGGTAGTAAAGATATAGTATATAGGTAGTAAAGATATAGTACATAGGTAGTAAAGATATAGTATATAGGTAGTAAAGATATAGTATATAGGTAGTAAAGATATAGTATATAGGTAGTAAAGATATAGTATATAGGTCCGTGAGTAGAGAAAAACATTTGAAGTAATTGAAGAAATGATTGAGGTGATAGTAGATCTGAAGAGCTGCATAAAAGTTTATCCAGGGTTTCTCAGTTCTCATTGGCCCAACTTTGGTGGACGATTCTTGACAATATTTGAAACAAAAACGTTATTTTGACACATGGGCCGATTCAAAACGGAAGAGGAGTTAAGACCAATTTTGTGTATTTGTCAAGGTAGTCACAGCTTTTATAGAATAAGAGTGAATAGCTCAAAAACTATTCAAGAGAATAAAATTCTAAGCAGACCATCGTAAAGTAGACAAAATTCTTTTGAGAAAACGGTGATTAAATTCACTAACATCAGGGACAAATAGGACTTTCAGGGCAGGGGTGCCCATCCCCTCTCCCCCAAGGTTAATGGCGCAAGAATCTACCCTCTCCCTCACCCCATCTCCGAAGATATTTTATTACTACACTTTTCTTAAAAACAGAGCAAGCAAACGTAAAATTAGAAAAATCGCAGACCATATACAAATACACTTACTGCAGTTCGTTCCATATTTTTCCCTTGTCTTTTAGTCCAAAAATTCGTAACCCCATAGAAATTCGTCCCTTCCTCCCGAAAATTCAAAATACCCCTCTCTAAAAATTTAAATTAAAACCTTCTGGACACTCCTGTTTTGGAGATTTGATGTATGTGTACTGTGACTACAGCAGTAGAGTGGCCATGTTAGACTTCCTTAAACTTACTTTTATCATTGACCTTAGTAAATTTAATCACTGATTTCTCAAAAATATTTTGTTTTCATTACAATGGTCTACTTAGAACTTTATTATCTTGAACATTTATTGATCAATTCCTTCTTATTCAATAAAAAAACGTGCCCACACAAAATTTGTCTTAACTGTTTTTCCGTTCGGAATTAGCCCATGCATCAAATGAACTTTTGTTGAAAATATTGTCTACAATCACCAACCAGACTTTGGACATTAAGAACTGAGAAACACTGTATAAACCGTGGTTGACAGAAAATGTAAGTTTTGGGTTTTTTCACGACTTGACACATTTATTTGTTGAATAAAGAGCGATATCTATTAAAAATATTTAATTTAAGTAATGGACCCCAAGTCACAGAAAAAAATAAAAGTTTTGTTATGATTCATTGTTGTTATTTTTGGCAGAATATCAAATCACATTATACATCTAGAACTGAATCTCAACTTAATCAATATGGATTTAAGGTTTATTAAACAAAGAAGTTTTTGTAAAAGTAGAATATCTGTAGTCCAGTGGCGGGTGATAAAAAAAATTAGTAATAATAAATGATTTTATAAAAAACAGATATTGGCGTAATTTATCAGCTAAATTCAAAAATATTTTAAATAAGAAAAATCCTAATTGTGATTGAAGATAATTTTTTTTCTTTGCCAATAAGATATTTTAATTATTTAAATTAAAATTCGCTTCCTATTCAATAAAAATATGGGAAACTTGAAATATAAAAATTTTTAACTCCCTGCTATTTTGCGATAAATCGAGCTATGCTGAACATAAAACTTTATAGCTCTATTTGTATTAAAATCATGCTAAAAGAAAATTCTTTTTTTTTCAGTAACAATAAACGATTACATGGCATTGCATAATATGGGTGATATTAGGATGAAAAAAGTTCAACATAAATGTCAAAACAATCAAATTTCCATCTGGAAAAAATTCAAAACTAATTGAATAATTTTTTTATACACTTATTTCCAGTTTATATTACTGAGGAGTGCTCTATTACATAATATTTATATTTGACATATAGCTACAATACGAGTAAAATGTTGCAATGGAACAATTAGTGCCAACCCAAGCAGCAAATTGGTTCAAATAGTTTTTTAAGGAGTAACTAAGTTGAGATATATATTTCGCATCTCGGAAAACTGCCAAATACGAATTTTCATAGCAATCAAAAGGTAATTTTCTTTTTCACGAAATATGAGCCCTTTGATTTTTTTTTTTCCAAAATCACACTCTTATTTTTTTTTTTTTTAGTTCTTCCCTACCTCGCCTTTTAGGCTATACGGGATTTTCCCGGGCAGGGGGGTGAGGGCGGGGGAATTTAATATCCCCTCCGGTACCGGGACGCGAACTCGCACTTTTTAAATCTTCTCAAATCTGTAATCCGGTTGCCAGGCAACTCGCGGTGCTGTGCACACGCTTTAGCCCATTCGGCCACCCCGCCCCCACTACCAAAATCACACTCATTTTCGCAATGAGTAGTATAATTAAATGAACAGTTTTAGAATTTGTAAAATAGGGACTGGTCCGTTAGGCGGACAGGGGGTACCCACCTCCTAGTACTCTTTTAAAATCATTAAGCATCAGTAGCTATTAAATGTAATAGCATGTCAAGAAAAAATATTTAAAAACCTAGGAGTTAGGTTAGGTTTAGGCCTAAATGTGACACCTCACTTGGAATATATGGCAGGTAGGGTGGCCCTAGCAATGAACGGTCTAACTCGCGTGGGAGGCGCATTCTGGGGCCTTAGGTATCCAGCCACAATCACTATATATAAAGGAGTTGTGGAGGGTATCCTGAGGTATGCGTCTCCCTTCTGGTTCCGTAACCTCACACTACGCCAAAAAAAAGGCTAGCCTCGACTCAGAGGACAGCTCTGCTTCTGGTCACCAGAGCATATAGAACAACTTCGCATGAAGCGGTGCAGGTTCTAGCGGGGGTGGTGCCTCTCGACCTCCTCCTACTAGAAGAAGTGACGAAATATTCATACAAGATAGAAGGCTCTACAGTACTTTCGGACAATCTACAGGTGAGGATTATGGAAGCGCCTAATAGGTGGAAGAAGATACTCCGGGAGGATACAATTGAAGCATGGAACCGGCGGTGGGTAACAACCCCTAAAGGAAGTACATTGAGGAAGTACTTTCCCACAGTACAGTCGAGGCTTCAGGCAAAGTGGGTCCTCTCGGACTACTGGATTTCCCAGTTCCTCACGGGGCATGGAGGATTTCGAGCTAAACTTCACGGTCTGGCCATTGATGTAGATCCTCAATGCCCAATCTGTAGTGTTCCGGAAACTGTAGAGCACGTGGTCACCGCGTTTGAAACGTTAAGAGCGACAATGACAAGAGCCGTGGGAATCTATGTCCTCACTGAAAATGAGTTTCCTCAGTTAGTCAGTGAGGAAAATTTCCCGCGGTTTAAGGATTTCATAAATGGATGGAAGACTGCAGTGGGGCCCGCTCACTTCCATATTGGTGCCCGCGCAGAAGAAGAGGACAAGCGCCAGGAAGACCTCCAGATTCTGAAAGCTAGGCCGAAAGAAGAAGGAAGAAGATAAAACAGAAGAACTATATATGTGCATATCTAGTAGTAGTGTGTTATTAAGTATTATGCCTAAAACACACTATTGCAAACACCCGTATTGCCATTGTGCCATGGGAGGGTGGAAATAAATAAATAAAAAAAATTATCTTTAGCTTGCTTCGGTTGAAACTTTGGCAACAATAAAACTCTTAAAAACTGATTACTCCTGACTATTTATAACCAATGATATATGTAGAACAGTCGACTAACTTCCTTCAATAATGAAAATTTATCCCTTTTGTTTTTTTATAAGATCTTCCAAGACCACTTAAATTTCTTTTATATGTAGGTTCTTTATTTTTCTTCTTCCATAGTAATTATTGTTATAGAAAAAAAAATGCAATATTAAATTCTGTATTCGCTACTGCTTTGTATAAAATATTCATTAACTGAAAAAAAAAGCCGTATTAATACTTTATACAAACATACTTTCATACGAGAAGATAAATTATGTCAAGTTCCGTTGCAGTAGGACTTCAGACAGCTGATATTAAAAACTTACCAAACACCATTCGTCCCAGGTCAGCTTAATCTTGTTCGCCTTGACGGGACGACAGCATAAACGGCCAGACAAAAGGACTTGATAAATTGCATTCAAAACGTATTTTGCACTGTTTGATTTCAGTTGTTAGTATTTGAAGTCTTAAAAAAGTTTAGAAATAAAAAAGGAAGAGGACATTTTCAATGAATATAATAAGTAATGAAGAAATTTACTACGGAAGTTAATCTTCAACTCCTCCAAAAAGTAGTATTTTAGTAGACGAGTCTTGGTCTTGCTCACCCAGTCTTAGGCTTGGTCTTGGCGTTGCACAAAAGTCTCGAAACAGTCTTGAAGTTACCTATTAACTTATTACTGTAGAGATATTACTGTAATTTTTTAGATATAAGAAACCTAACTAAGCCCGAATGAAAAATTGGAGTAGTTAAATGTAAAAGTATATTGATTAAGCTAATTCTTAACGTAGATTAACTAAAATTGTCAAGTATTAGTAACAATTTTGCTTTTATTTTTAGTCAAAAAATCGATTATTTTTTTACCAGCCTTTGTCTTGGTCTTGCAACAGTTAGGCAGTCTTGGTCTTGGTATTGCAAAGTGCAAGACCAAGACCGATTTTGGGCAACACTACCAAAAAGGACTGAACTGCCTAATAATTTTTTTCCTAATGAGGGAAGGAAATAAAAAAAAATTCAAATCACATTATTATTAGCGCAATGAATTTTCTTTGATTCTAATTAAAATTTCATTTTTTTTTTTTTAATTTACAGCAGATATGGCACAGTTCTTTTCCAAGAGTCCTTGTAAATTCTCCATGCTTCTTTCACCAGACTGTTGAATGTTATTTAAAAAATAATAATAATAATAAAAATTACAGACAATATAAACCTAAATATAAATTTATTTTTAAATATTCAATATTATACTGTTTGTTTCACAATAATTATGTTGACTTTATATATTCATCATTTAATTAATTTTTACACTAATATAACTTGTTGCCATTTTTTTTTTATTCATAGTCCCTCCCCCCAATCAGAATGGAAAGTCTGCTCATGGCACAGGCGGATATACGGAGGGCGGGCTTTCGAGCTGAAGCTTCCTCCAAAATGGTAAAATGTAATCATATTTTATGCCAAAAAATATAAAAGAATTATCTCTTAAATTATTATTGTTCGTGTAATTACATTTAATAGGACTTCATGAATCACTTAAACACCATTTCAAGTAAGTAGGTAGTATCTTTCTTTTTTTTCAAAATAATTGTCGTTATATATATATATAAATATATATAAAAAGAGCCCCCCTCTCCAAAAAAAAAAAAAATCCTGGATCCGCTAGTGGCCTATGGAAAGTAAGTTTTGAGTTAGATCTTCACGAATAAGGTTCATTGTGCAGTTTCCCTGAACTTACCTTATCAGTGTTAAGATTACATTGTGTGCAAATGACTTCATAATTCTGGCACCATCATTGTGAAGTTATCAAGTGTACAAAATGGTTTGCTAAAAGGTAATTTTAATTGTGTAAATCACAAAAAACCACCAGTAAGAATTATAATTTAAAATAATAAAAAAAAAAGTTGGATTCATTTTTGACCTATTTCTAGCTAAAATAAATTTGTTTTTCTTCAACATTTTCATTTTTTCAATGATTCCATGAATCGCAATTTCTGAGGTCTGAAAGTCTTTTTTTGAAAAAAAAAAATCCTGAAATTTCAAGATCTAGATTACAGACAGACATAAAAGGTTGAAAAGAAGACGATAAACTTTTGATTATTAAATATAAACCTATAATGATATAATTACCTTTTCACAAAGTATCTTGACACAGCCGACGTTACCAGAGAGGCAGGCCAGGTGGAGAGGGGTCGATCCGAAGTTGTCTGCCTTCTGAAGATCTATCCCGGAGTACATGAGCAGTTTGATCAGCTCTGGGTGTCCTGTCAACAGAATGTTGTTTAGTACAAGAAGTAATACCATATTTGAGAAAATAAAATCAGGTGATCGGTGCTTCAAGAGAATAGTTATGCATATAATAGGGTATGCAAAAAAACAAAATGACCGTTTTAACTAGATATTAGTAGTATTATTTCTTTGATATAAAATACAATTAATAATCAAAGTATAGTCCATTGTTATCTACAGTTATTAGCCATCAGCTAGCCAATTGCTCGATCTCACGCTGATACTTTGGGATGTCTGTCAAAGAACTCTTGGACCGCAATTTCAACTTTCACAAAATTATCAATTTTTTCCATTGAAAAAAATGGGCCATGAATCTAAATAAGTAGTAATAAGATGGCGCGACGTCTGGACTATATGGTGGATGAGGAAGGAGTTCGAACCCATGAAGTTCTTTAAACTTTTCTTTGATTCGACGGAAAGTGTGAGCTGATTCCTGAGGACTAAGTTTGTGAGGGAATAGTCTACTGCTCATTTTCACCTTCCCCGTGGAGAGTAGATGGCGATTAACAGAATCTTTCGACACACCACACCTCCTGGGAAGTTCGTGAGTACTTATGGACGAATTTGACTCAACAGCTTTCTGCAGAACTTCATCAAAATCCATTAATGTTCGCCCGGAGCCCTTCTTCCTTTCCAACGTCATGTCTCCACTGCTAAATTTTTGAAACCAACGTCGCGCAGTGCGCTGATCAAGGACATATTTCTCTTCATATTTAATAATTTCACGAATCGGTTGGTTTTTTTCTAGTAATACCTTAAAATTACAAGAATTTCGTAAGACACTGTCATATTTCTTCTCTGAAATAAATAAATAAACTGAGGTTTTTTTTAAGAAATCGAATGGGATTAAACAAGCTTAGAGAATGCTGTAAAGGGATTATTGATTATTGATATTAAATAGGATTAAAATATTTACAGTCCTTTGGAATCTTGAATTTGATAAAACGGTAATGTTTTTTTATACACCCTACTATATTGTTATACACAATATGTATGAATCGACTGAGCTTTGAAACTTGCACGGTAATGCTTCCACAACTTTTGGAACCAAACATCGATAAATTCTGGACCCAAGATCTAAAAAGAGTACTCATTTTAGGCGTAGGTTTGAATATGAATTGAGAAATTGTAAATTATTCAAAGTAAAATGAAACTTATTTAGCGTTTTGAACCATAAATAAAATAAAGAAATATCGTCTGATTTAAATCATACTAGGCCACTCAAATAAAGATCGAAACGGATATTCTGTCAAAAAGATGACAAAAGTTTTATATTTTTTAATTTATTTATTTATCAGTCTAAATATATAAAAAAGAAAATGGCCGCCTCGAGGGAACTTTTGTACAGCCAGAAAAGGTATAGCGCTCACAATGAGGCACTAACTCATGTGGCAAACAAGTTGAAAATAATTTTCTTTTTCTTCACATTTATATATTTTATATATATTCACTTGTTTATATTTATATACCGAGTCATCGGTGATTCCATTGAGTAATAAAGAGTAGCGTTGATTTTCATCGCTTTTCCGTTCAGTTTAAAAACCAAGTAATATGCTAAATAAATATTAAAAATAAAAATGATTGACATTTCGTATTTTTTTTCTATGTGGTGAATGAATTTCATCAAAATCTTGCATGTCTTTAAAAATTAGTATATCACTAGGTTGTTAAAACGAAAAGAAATATCCTCTAAATACAATTAATAATAGGATTTTATTGATCATTAGCCAAAAGGTTTTGAGCAACAAACCCTCCTCCCCCTCCAAAAAAAAGGCTAATTGATTCCGTCAAAATTTAAGTTCATCAACCATGGATAAATCGAAATTTCGCCACTCATTATATGAGCCCCTTTTCGATTAGCAAGAATTATTTCAATCAATATTGGCAATTAGTGTTCTAATCAGGATTGTCATTCAATTGCAAATGAACCTCTCTGTTCAATGCTACATGTTTTATTTATGAGCTAATGTAATCTAGCTGTAAGTGCATTATTACTAGTTCCTCAATCGAAAATATATTAATTCAATATTCACACTCCTTCTAACATGATTGTTATAATGACTGTTATTAATGTTTAGGAAAAAATGGCAAAGTATCATAAGGCGTAATTAAAAAGTTCCATTTTTGTTTTATCAATGATTATTATGAAACACATTTTACGTTCCTTTCAATCTAAATAAGGGCTTCACGAGCACAAAAGTTCGATACTGTTATCACCAATCGTGTACATACTTCCACCCAGCAACCGCTGTCCATACCCAATCCCGAAAAATCAGTCTATATGTAATCCTCCCATCTTCACTATGGACTACCTCTTAGACGCTTACCACAGCGTTTATTAAACTTTTATGGAGTCTTCCTCTATAGGTCCAAATGTCCTCCTTACGTTTAGTATTTTCAATAATGAACTACTGTAATTGTCCAAAAATTCAAAAACTTAACTCCTTCTCTCTCGAAATTTGAAGTTTTACGTTTCAGGATACATAGAATTCGAAAATCGAATACATCTTGTCCTTCGCCGTCCATGCATTTTCTCCGAGACTACGGGATCATTTTTTTCAGATTTGAAGTCAGAGGTCACCCGAGGATGATCCTTCTACATCACCATTAATAATCGCCCTTTCCTTTCAAGATGGTGGTCGAAAAACCTGTGTTGGTATAGACTGTAGCGCCTAAACGAATGTACCGATTTTAATGAAATTTGGCTAAAGTCTTCTCCATTTCCTTTAAATTTATCTACATGACATATTTCAACGAAAAGAAGATGGAAAAAAGTTATTAGGAGTGGTAAAAAGATTTCCGAGTATATTATAATTTCTATTACATGATGGGGTACCTACCGGTTCAGAGGCAGCAACCTTTTAACACTATTATAACAATAAGCTCACAGTATATCTGACATAATTAACTTAAAAATAAAGGTCCAATATCTAAATCATTTGGCCCCAAAAATGGTTCATATTAAAGGGGCAAAGTGTGCCGAAATAAAAGAATTTTAGAAATTATTTACAACATGTATTAAATTTAGAAAATAATATTTTTAGCACAAAAAATTTACATTTTATTTATTGCCTGACCTGTCTATAGGCTATACGGGTTTGTCAGAGGTGATAAACCATAAGTTATCCATCCTAAAAGTCACACAATTACTAATCTTCAAAAAGTTTACCGATGTATCCACCTCATAGTTGATTTCTACCCGATACGATTGAGAGTATAGGCTGTAGTTCTAGAAGAGCGAGGCAGCACTAGGTACCAGAGACTCATATTTCATAATTTAAAAAAATTAGATACTTTTTTTCGTTTAAAAGAGTGTTCATTTGATTTATTTTACATTATGATTTTTTTAATTAATTAATTTAATTTTTAATATTCGACAAGCAGACTATTTTACACTACAATAAGGTAAAAAAAGTTACAATATTTTGGTTATCAAAATAATATTTTGGTTAGCACTATCAATGTTGTAGGGTTGTCTGCCTGAAACTGGTTATTTTCTTTGCCTTGGATAGAAGTGTGATGGTCTGATGATAGATTTTCAACCGAAGAAAAAATGTTTACTTTGGACACAAAGCCCAGGTTTCCTTATTCACTTGCCTCTGGGTGCTTCATAGTCGGTATACCCAATGACCACATGCTTGGCACTCTATGATTCGTCACATCTAGGACGTAATGGATCGTTATCCTGTCCAAATTTTTGTAGCTTAGCACGGAAGCCTCCAAGTCCAGTGATTAGCTATGATCCATAGTAGTCCTGGAGGAACCATGTAACCACTAATCTTACGGTGAAAAAATACTTCCTCAGGATGACCTCTTTCGTTACCCAACGCCGATTCCATTCATCTAATGTTTCCTTCCGGATAATTGTTTTTCCAATTTCTGAGATCCGAATGGACCTTTGACTGAACATTTTCTGGTAAATTCACCGACCCAACATAAATCTTGTATCGTATTTTATGCTTATACCAATAATAATCATAACTTTGCTTTAAAAAAATCCATTAACCCTCGCTTTCCCCTAATTGTTTTCATATTTTTCATTGACTTACAAATATATAACTAAAACCTCAATGCAATTATAACAAGTAAATGTATTTTTTAAATCGTTTGTTGACTGACCCTTGTAGGCGGCCCAGTGCAAGGCGCTGTCCCCGTTGATATCGGTGAGGTGGTTGAGTGCGCCCATCCCGAGCAGATAGGCTGCGGTAGCCGCTCGTCCGAACATGGCAGCCGTCATCAGTGGCGTCAGGCCTTTGAAGTCGGCTGCGTTCACGGCGACTCCAGCCTGAGAACAGTGCATGACAGTAAGCGACAGTACATGACAGTAAGCTGTACAACAAGGTCCAAGCTATACCTGGAGGAGGACTTGGACGATAGTGGTGTGGCCTTTTCGGCAAGCCCAGTGGATCGGTCGTGGGCCTTGCGTTCCGAGACAGGGTAGGTCTACGGGTGCGCATCTCTCGACCAGGTAGCGCATCACCTGAAACATATTGACCAATCTTTACATCCTCTTCTGATATTTAAATTCAATTTAAATATTTTACTCCACCGGCTTTAGCACCAGTTAGGCCGTTGAGAGAGTAGCGCAGGGTTCCCCGCCTGATTGTATATATTGTATATAGGTATGACTGTATTTTTATGTTTTTAATTTGCTTATATTTAGGTTTTTTTTTTTATTATTTTATATAGTTTTTATTTATTATTATTTAGTTATTATTTTACTTTTGTTAGTTTTATTTCTTTTTTGTATATACGGTGTGAATATGTTCATTTATCAATATAATTATTGTCCCTGTGACAGAATATTATATGTCTAAATAAATAAATAAAAAATAAAAAAATTCGTTCAAAAATCCACAAATTCCTAGAACAAATCATTTTTAACTAAAACAATTCAGAGGAAAGTATTTTTTTCGTTAGCCGGCAAGATGGAATTTGGAACATTGGTATATTAAATAAATAACTTAAAAATAACATTGTTTTGACTATCTGATGTCAGTTTGGACGACATCGACATTTAACGAGACACCAAATCTCCAGAAAAACAAAAATATATCTTAATAAGACCCTAATACGCCCAATATTCATCAATAGTTCTGAGCCATGGACCCTTTTAAAAAAATCAGTGAGCAATAGCTTCAGAAAGACGTTCTTCGTAGGAGGAAAGAATGGAGGCAATGAATGGAGGAGAAGGAGCAACCAAGAGGTTTTAGATATATATTAAGAGCCCGGTGTTGCTAAATTCCTACACACAGAAAGGCTTTGTTGGGCTGGCCATGTGGTCCGAATGGGAGATGAAGAAATGCCAAGAAAGCTGATAACAGAACAGCTCTTCGGAAGAAGACGGAGTGGAAGGCCAAGGCTTCGATGGATTGCTGGTGTGGCAAAGAAAACTGGAAGTTAGGATGGTGGCTGCCAGAGACTGAGAAATTGGGAAAAAGTAAGTTGAGGAGACTAGGACTCATCAACGAGTTGTGCACAACTAAAAATAATAAATAAATATCTTGGTAATTCGAATAATTGTCTTCATGAGTTGTATGTGTTGTGATCTACACATTGTGAGCATGTTGGCAACTCCACACATTCAGTATTCGAATAGATTTAGAACTATGCGTTACCATCTTGATATGTTGGCGCCAACACATATATAATTCATAAAGACCACATCTTTGCTTACTAGCTTATTTCCTGAGACCATAGTTGTATTAGTATAGACTAATCATGCATGTCATAGAAACTCGGTCTCTTGTCATATAATCAGTGGCGTAACTACCGCAGTGCAGTTTGAGCGTTTCGTTCCAGACACCGGCTCAGAAAAACCACTAGCCAAGAGTAAAAAATAAATAAATAAATCTGTCCCTAAAAAATCAACACAACTTACAATAGTAATAATCACGAAATAGAAATAGAAATAGAAAAGATGGAGTTCATTTGCTATTTTTAAAACATTGTAAAAGTTTAATAGTAGGGAAAAAAAAGTTTAAAAATCATAATACAATGCTAAGGGTTTCTTTTATATTATATAGAGATAATAAAGTAAAAGTGATTTATTAGGTTTAATTATTTCAACTTATTTTCCGAAAGAGTACAGTCAAACTATTAAGTTTGGTAGTGATCAAAAGTCGGGATGAATACCGATGTGAGAAGTATGAATGTTATAAATATCTACTTATTACTATTATTCAAAATTGATCTGAATGAGGAAAAATGCTGTGAATTCGTTCGAATATAATGATTCACCAAATCATCATATTCATCATTCATTGCATCATTATTTACAACCATTTTTCATATCATAAATACATCAGCATTGCACACTAACGGATCCAGGATTTAATTTTGGTGGGCTTCACCCGAAATTTTTTTTTCTATGTATATATTAGGATGATTATTTCGGGAGAAAGAAAGAAACTAACTACTTATATGAAATGGTGTTGGTGCTGTGAGATTCTTTAAGTCTTATTAAAGTCCTATTAGACGAACAATTATACTTTTAGAGACATTTGTTTTCATATAACATGGTTATATTTTATTATTTTGGAAGGGGCTTCAGTTCGAATTAAGCTATTGAATGGAAAATAAATATTTCCATGTAAACTTTTAAATGTATTTTATGGTTGACAAAAAAAGCACATATATTCACACCTACCGAATCGAGAAAATGAAATTATTTGTAAAAACTGTTTTATTGTACTTGTGACAGAAAAAGTAGAATAAAAAAATATTTCATGCAGTATTGCGGATGAGCAAAACATATATATATGTTTATATATGGGTACATATATGTACTCCGAAGATAAATGATACCATGTCCATTTTTTTCATTAAACAATTTAGTAACTAAGAAACAAATTTTACTAGCTCAAAGTTATGAAAAAAAGGCTCCCTGAACAAATACAAAGATGTGAAATGGTGTCCTTTACTTCCGGGATGCAGAGTTAGTAACAAAGAAACAAATTTTAATAGCTCAAGGTTATAGAACATTGGCTTGAATAAATACAAAAATGGACATGGGTGTTGTTTACCTTCGGAGTACATATATGTTTATAACCTTAAATAAATTGACTCTAGTTTAATAATTAGGTATATAATGTTGCTTTATAGCGAAAAAATATTAAGTCAAAATCAAGATAATTAAATCAGTCTATACTTTGATGAATTTTTCGTCCGTGAATTCGCAAGATTGGTGGGACTACGTTAGACCTATGACGATAGGGAATAAAAACCTCGTAATTCCTTGTTGACAAATTCCACAATAATGAAAAAATAAAGTTTAAAAACGTGCGTAAAGTGATACGGATTTAGTTTTTATCATGTAGTACAATCCTCACTTTTTTATAAATTGGATAAATTTGTTTATGTGCTTTCAAATCTCTCTTTGTGTATATAGCTCAGAGACTGGAGTTGTGAGATTTAAATAGACTGATGGAGTTACGAGTTTTTCATTGCCTGCTGTCGGAATTGAAAAAATGAAAAATCTGACTGAAGTTCACAAATGTGTTCTTTAAGTTTTAGCTCCATTGGGCTATTGTAAAAATATACTTTTTGCAATAGTCCAATTTTGAGTCCTTAGTGAAAGTTGTGTGATGTGCCACTAGATCTTTCCACTTATAAAATTTAAATATTATAAGATACTATATTGTTCCGTATCGAACGCACCTAGAATTTTACTTAATTATTTAATTTAATGAAACTGGAATTTAAACACTACTAAAACATGTTTTCTTTATATAAATAAACATTAAATTAATGACTAAATAAATTAAACTAACAAAATAAATAAAATTTATTTTTATTGCATTAGACATTTGTTAATAATGCATTGGAAACTCACTTCGACATTTCCATCTAAAGCAGCCCAATGTGCAGGTGTATAACCCCATTCATCTCTTGAGCTCAACGATTCCGCTCCTAATTTTTCTACGAGAGCTTCTATTTCGGAAACGGCTCTGGAATCAAGAAGATGCTTCAAGATTTGACATATATCCACCCTCCTTCATCACACATACATATACTTACCCATTTCTTACCAAATCGAAAATGGATTTGTAAGTGTGTCCAAAGTTGAACTCTGTGCTTTCAGAGAAAGGCAAGGAATTGATATCTTTTTGATGAGATACCACTGCACCAGATACCATATTGCTAGAGTGCCCTGTGCCTGGTTCGGAACTCCAGACACTTTGGGCTGTCCCTGGGCTTGGAAACACTTTGGACAACGTATTTGCAGTTAAGGATCAGCTGTAAATATAAAAAAATGCTTAAATTTACATTCACAAAACTGCTCGAGCAATTAACGACCAACGGAAACACAGAGAGAATTCTTTCAGGTTGGATTGCCAGTAACAGCTGAGTTTTCAATCAATATACGAGTGGAAATTGTTCCTGCGATCAGTGCGCAAGCTCGCTTCGGAATGTGTTGAGTTGAATAATGCGGATTCTAAAGTGGAGCGAAATATTGTATTTGACATTAATGCGTTTCTTTACTAAGCGTAATTGTGAATTGTTCCCAGAAGTTTAGGTTCTGTAAAGGTGACAAGTGAGATCTGGTTCGAGATCTCAACTCTACTTCAACCGGTGTATTTAGGGTGGGGGAAGGACACGTTTCAACTGAAGGTTCCAAGCATTGTTATAGTGGTTGAACTGTTATTGTCAAAAAGTTCTCACCAATACTCTGTGTACCGTTCATAATTGATTTTTTAATGATTATGTTCTTTTAATTGTTATAAAATGCGTGTCATTCTGTTTAAAAAGAAAAATTTATTCAAGATGTTTGTTTCAGTGTTACTATTAATTCCAATATTATGTTTGTTATATGTTAAATCCAATGAAAATCTTCAAACTGCTATTGCCAGTAAACAGATTATGATTCAAGAAAGCGCAGTAAGTAATAAACTTGTTGGATATATGAAGCTTATTTTGTTGACTCCCTTATCTGCACTTCTTGAGAGACATCTGCACTTTATATTTTCATTGCAAAATATATTATTGGAGTATACGATCAGTATAAATAAATACCTAAGTATTTATTTATATACATAAGTATATCGGGTGCCAAATCATCCAGCCAATATTTGATTTTACATCCTCTCATCTCACATCATAATTAAAATCAGTATAGATTAAGTTATATTAAAATAAAACGAAATGTTGAGTTTACGCAATTCTAACAAGTAATTTCAAAATTATATTCATTTGAACTTCGTAGGAAAATTTTAGCTGGAAATCAGCTTGTATTCATTTGGGCTTTTCCATATAAAATCATAATTTAATGAAGTACAGGCTCCAAAATGCATTAATTTGTCCTACATTTTATGTAGAGTCAGATGATACCATAAGAATTAGCATTATGGTTTTTCATCATGGGTAAAATGATTCACATTTAATAAAAAAAAAACAAAAACATTCTTTGAAAGTTGGCATTGTCATTTTATTGCAGAAGTCATTAAATATCATTTCTTAAATTAAATCACTAAGTACTTTAATAAATTTTGTTTCTAAAAAATCAGAACATAATGTCACTTAGTGCAACTGTTTTTGATATATAATGGGGTTTGAGTCTTGTTTATGCATCCATAAATAAGGTTGACATTTACAAAACTTACATAGATGCTTAGCACCATAAAAATTGTACTTAGTGAATTATTGCTACAAACTGATGAAATATCGAAAAACCTCTGCAGCCAAATTTGTTGAAAGAAATTTGAAATTTCCTTTCAAGCAATGAAATACTTTTGATGAGTTAATAGATTTTTATTATAATGTAAATCCAATAAATTAAAAGTAAATTCTCAAGTTAATATTCAAGTAAACATGGCTTTAATCTCTCCCCAGATATTTTAATACTACTATATATTACTGAAAAGAACATGAACTGCTCTCTAAAGTGATGAAATAATATTGGTGGATTTTGGCATTAAAAGAGGTTTATTCCAATATAAATCAAATATTTTTTTTAATTTTGTATTTTACGTATTCGGTGTATAAATGAGGAAGAATCTGATAATGATATCCTATTTATGCATCCCTTTGGTATATGTGGTCTTAGTCCTCAAAAAGAAGCCAATTACTGTGTATCACCGTTACATCTATTCTGTTTTATAAAACATCCTGAGGTAACTTTTCAATTTTCTAGATCATATAAGATTTTAGGAAAGAATTAAAGAAACCTGGAACGAATTTGAGAGACCATTGTAATAAATATTAATTTTAAAATTAAAAATCTACTTATCCATTTAAATAATAGCATACTTTGGAACCTAAAATTGGTTTGTTTTAAAGATAAAAAAATTGAATCCTTTACATTGCCAAGATATACGAACTTATGTACAAAGAAGAGCTTATGATAACTAAAAAATAATAAATGGACCAAGTCATAATCCGGGCCTTTGAACATAATACCTTTATTTAAAATATTAAATTTAAAAAATATTAAACTTAAAAATACACGAATATTATTTTATTATTTGAATGGAAATTTCGCAATCTTTGATATAGCAACAGTGGATTGAGGATTTAATTTTGTGTTGGGACTTTTTATTTTTTTCTAATGATAATTACTTGGTAGGAAAAGAAAGAAACTGTGTAAAATGAAGTTTAAGTGGTCCTTAAATTATTTTTTAAGGTCTGCTCAAACAAGGAAACATATAATTAAAAGAATAATAATGCTTTTAAGAATAATTTTTTTTCTTGACATAATGCTTATATTTAGTGAGTATTTATATGTTATGATAGTACATATCGTCATTACTTAAATATTTCGCTCAGAACTCTTATAAAAAGAAATATGGACCAATGAAAAAGAATAATATTTTTCTATTTTTTAGGGAAGATGGACTTCAGCTAGAAAACCTCTGATACTATTTCGTAATTTTAAAGGATATTTCAAACTTTTGTTAGTACTATATGGTGACAATAGGATATTTGGAGAGATATTGTAGCTACAAATATCTTTGGATATTGCATCACTACTTTGAACAAATATTTATTTTTATATTTAAGAATAATTTTATACATGATAAAAAATCGTAATGCTAATGTTTATGGTACCATCTGATTTTCTTTAAAATTAGAACTAATGAATAAATTTTGAAGCCTCTTTCTATAAATTCAAACTTACAATTGATTTTATATAGAAACGCCCAAATTCTTACAAGCTGTTTTCCAACTCAAATCGTCCTTCAATGTTTAGATTTCTGATTAAAAAAAAATACCATAATTCTGAAATTACCTGTTACAATTGAGTAAAATATGGTATTTCTTTCTCAGGTAAGTATTCACTAAATGTATACAAATTTTCAAATTAAATCTGCAACTTAAGGATATCAGCTGTTTAATTATATGGAATATAATACTATTATTACTTTATAATATCTTAAATAGAAATATTTAAAATCACGTGAATGTATTAATCTCTTTAAGTGGTCATTTTTTTTTAATACATTCCTTGCCAATACTTTTTATAATAAGTCTTTTTGTTTTCGTTCTTAGGATCCTGTATTTGTCAATGAATTAGGAAATTTCGAACCTCCTGAAACTCCGCCTAGAGTAGGTCCTGGAGAAGGTGGCAAACCTCATTATCTCAGAAGTGATCAGCAAAATGAAGAAAAAGCATCGCTTACAGAATACGGCATGAATATGAAGTGCTCTAATGAAATTTCACTCAACAGGTCCATTCCTGATCTGAGATTACCTGAGTATGTGTTCGTTTTTTGTTGCTAATATATATGCGTATGTGATATATTGAAATTTTAAAGAAGTGTCTGTGAGAATATATATATTTTTTTTTTTGTGTATTCCATTATTTTTATCTTTTTTTTTCAGGTGTAAACATTGGAATTACCCTGAACATTTACCAAAGACAAGTGTAATCTTGGTTTTTCACAATGAAGGATTTTCAGTTTTAATGAGGACTGTTCACAGTGTTATTAATAATACCCCTAAACAGTTCCTTGAAGAAATTTTATTGGTCGATGATTACAGTAATAAAGGTATAAATCATTTTATTTTTTATTTTCTAGTAATATTTAGTTATGTATTATGCCTATATCAATTAAATTTTATTATTTATTTATTTTATACCATGAACATGTGTTTTAGATGATTTAAAAGATAAACTTGATAAGTATATTGAACGATTCAATGGTAAAGTACGTATGCTGCGTAATAAAGAGAGAGAAGGGTTGATTAGAACGCGGTCACGTGGCGCCCGAGAAGCTCGAGGAGAGGTTATTGTCTTCCTGGATGCTCATTGTGAGGTTAATCTAAATTGGCTTCCTCCTCTCCTTGCTCCAATTAAAAAAAATAGGTGATTGTTTAATAATTATTTCTTAAACATTCCTATATCCTAGTCTTGTTTGTAAAACCATTAGTTTTCTAAGTATTCTCCAAGTAAGCATAGCCTTAAGAGGTCGAGGACTTATTATTTTGAATTATTTGGAGAATGATAATTGATTTAATTTCAATTTAATGGTTGTGTAATGAATGAATGAAGTATAATGTGTGTAAATTTTATAAGCCAAAGAAAAAATTTAAATGAAAAACATTTTTTTTGTTTAATTGCTGTTAATGGTTTTTATTATAAAATAGGTTGTTGTTGAAATTGTTTAACTTCCTTTTTGGCTTGTCCTAGATGTTTTTTTATTAAAAAATATTTACTATCCATAATTTATTAACTTTAATCATTATATTATTGAGAATAGTTTATGTATGGTAGTATAAGGTTAGGACTTATATTGTTCTCGTATATAGATAAAATATATTCATGTGAAAGTGGTTGTTTGATTTCCATTTTAAGTCTTCTATTATCTATAACTCGATAATTAAATAAATATCTATAATACGGTAAATATAGATCCCTTTTCCGGCTCTCAGGTGCGATCGATTATGATGTTTGTCTTATTACTTAACTATTAAACTGGAGAAGCGATATTTCCCAATGGGACAAGCTAATAACTTATTAAGTAAATTGATACTTTAAATTATGAGTGTTTAATAGACTGTCTTGATAATATTATTTTCTACATCGCAATAAACATGTTTCGCTGATGTTGCTAATACGTTGAATATATTAGAAGAAGAAGTCTTTGTATTTATCAAAATTACATAATATTAATTACAAAAATAATAATTTTGAATTTAAATCGAAGATCAGATGTGCTATATGGTCTGAATCTTGTCAGAGGAGTCTGTTTCATAACAAAATTATATTTCAATCTATTTATATATAACTAATTAATAAGAAAATAATAACAATTATATTTTCCTTGTAAAATTTATATAAATATTTTAATTACAAAAAGAGTGGTACCAACTTTCTCCAATTTCTTAATTGTTAAATTCTCTGGTTTGCATTATTTTATAGAAGAAATCAGATTTTTAGTAATTTTCCAATGCTATCCAATTTTTTCCATTTATTAAATCTATTTCCATCCATTTAATTCTAAATTCAGAGAGTATCGGACAAGCAGCCAGGTAGTAATAGAAATCTTCTGTTTCGTTTGTATTACACATGCTACAAATATTATTTGTTTGCTTGAAGTGTTTATAATTCAAAACCACTCCTGATTTTAATTACCCATCTGATCACCTTCAATGAGCTTTTGTCATCAATATAATTTACTGAAGTTAAATGAGGATAAAAAGGGAAAGTTTTCGAATTCTGAACTTTAAATACATATTCATTATATATATATATATATATATATATATATATATATATATATATATATCTTTCTGAATTTGAATTCATAGTGAAGATACATTAATTCTCCATAGTTTAACATCATCACAGTTACAGCGATTTAAGTTGAAATTTAATCCATGCAATTCTATGAGATTATGTAAGTCCCTAGACCATGCGATTTCTTTTTTAATTTTCTGTAGTGCTAATATTTTTGGATACCCATGTGATGGAAGATTCAAAATTACTAAATGTAATCAAAATGGAGTTTAATTGTGAAGATAAATAATGGATCTATTTTAGTCTCAAAGTAAATAAAATGTGTTGTAGTATACTTTGGTAATTTAAATAATTTTTAATAAAGAATATATTAGTGAGAAAGAATGCTATCTGTGAGTTCTAACTGGGGTATACTTGTTATATATACATATATATATATTTATATATATATATTTTTTTTTTTAAAGCGATCACTTCTTTCCCTTAATTAATTTATTTTATTTCAGATCAACTATGACAGTTCCGGTGATCGATGGAATAGACCACCAGACATTTGAAGTCCGTCCAGTATATCAAGAGGGTCATCATTTCAGGGGTATTTTCGAATGGGGTATGTTATACAAGGAAAACGAACTTCCTAAAAGAGAAGCTGACACCCGTGAGCATCATTCGGAGCCTTACAGGTTAGTCCCCTTATCTTTATCTTTGTTTAAATAATTATTTTATATTTTATTATTATAATATTAACCTGGCACTGCTCTTATCTCTTTTTCATATGATGAGTGCTATTAATCTTATAGAGTCTTCCATTAACTTTTGCTTCCTTAATACCAAACATAGATAAGCTCTCTTGGTAACTTTAACTAATAGTCCGTGGTACAGACACCTTTTTACGAAATTATTAACATCCAACTGAAACTTGGTAAATAGCTTCATCTCATTGTAACCTACAAATGTTTTATTTACCAATTCTCAGAATTGGGGCGTTTTCAACCTGGAGGTCGGCAACTTTGTTTGTTTAATTAGGTACTAAAAACCCGTAAATATCCATTTGCTTTCCACTTGAATCGTAAGATAGCTTCAGCAAAAGTCGGGAAAAAAGATGGTCTTCAAAACTATTGAGTCTTAAACCAACACCACCAAATTTTTAATGGTTATATAGGCCAAACGACCCAATGTTTTTGAAGGCAACATTTTTTATCGATTTTTTGATCATATTATGTTACAACCCTAGTGGAAATCAAATGGGTATTTACGAGTTTTTAGTACCTAATTTAAATAGACAAAGTTTGCCGACCTCCAGATTGAAAACGCCCCAATTCCGAGAATTTTGGTAAATAAAATATTTGTAGATTACGATGAGATGAAGCTATTCACAAAATTTTAGGAGGATGTTAATAATTTGATAAAAAGGGGTCTGTCTATACCACGGACTATAACATTTATTTTAATAAAGTATAAATGTTTTTTTTATTTTACTCTTATTAAAATTAAACATTTATTTGTAGATCTCCCACTCACGCAGGAGGTCTTTTTGCAATCAATAGAGAGTACTTTTTGGAAATAGGTGCTTATGATCCTGGCCTTTTGGTTTGGGGCGGAGAGAATTTTGAATTATCATTCAAGGTAATTAACATATCTATAAAACTGTTTCCATACATACATTACATTTTTTTTTCACTACTGCCTTCCAGTTTTTTAATAGATTCGAAAGTTTTACAGCTAGTTTAGTTGTGTTAGTTTTGTGACTTAATTAATTTTTTACTTTCACTTAACTGTATATGAAATATATTGTAAAGGAAAATAGTTAGCACCCGAGCACACCCTAAAGATTATAACAGTCTTCCATACGTAACATGAGCTTAATATAATATGGACTCCGAAAATATTATATAAATATACATATGCAGTTTTCATAAATGCTATTGTTGGTATTATTTAATATTTAATTGTATAGATTACGCCGATATAAATATTAAAATTTGTATATATAAGGGTGCTTATACATATAAAAATACCCAAAATGAAATATAAATAATTATAGCGTCTATAATTTTTACTTTCACTTCTCCTTTTTCTGAAAATACTTATTTCTGTTAAGAAGGGGGTGATAAGTGAAAGTTGTGTTATGCGCGCACCGTCCCAGATTTTTTTTTTAACGAGTCAACGATAAATTTATAATTAAAAGTGTTATTTTATATTTAAATCTTTTAAAAAAAAATGTGCAGAAAATTCTCAACATGTGGTAAATTCACGCAGTCACTCCAAAAAGATCAATTTAATTCAAAACAAAATTAGTATCAATAGAATATCCTCTCTATGAATCAAGTTTCTGTCATGGTTTGGTTGAATTTGAAGCTAGAAAAAAAAAAAATTAAATTAAATCCACGTAATTGTAAGGTTAAGTTTGAAACAATATTATAAAAAGAATTTTCTTTGATTATAGATATAGTTTGTATGTCCATATAATTATTTATTTATTTTGTAATTTATTATAAATTAATAAATTGTTGTTGATAATTTTATTTTAGATTTGGCAGTGTGGAGGAAGTATTCTGTGGGTTCCTTGTTCAAGAGTGGGCCATGTTTATCGTGGTTTTATGCCTTACAATTTCGGGAAACTTGCAAGGAATAAAAAAGGATCATTAATTACTATTGTAAGATTATTTTATGTATATATGACTGTGTTTAATTTTATTATCAATTTATGTTTTCAAGTATCATAAGTTTTGTGTCAGTTGAATGTTATGACATTTTATTTTACCAATGCATTTTATTATTCATTACGAATATACTTACTTTTTTTGTCACACAGAACTATAAGAGAGTAATTGAAACTTGGTTCGATGACAAGTATAAAGAATTTTTTTATACAAGAGAACCGCTTGCAAGGTATTTGGATGAAGGAGATCTAACTGAGCAGAGAGCATTAAAAGAAAAACTGCAGTGCAAAGACTTCAGTTGGTTCATGGAAAATATAGCATATGACGTCCTCGACAAGTTTCCAGAATTACCTAAGAATATTCATTGGGGAGAGGTAATTATTAATTTGTTATATCTATTTATTTAGAAGCTCCTTAGGATTTATCTAAAATAAAAATGTCCACATATCGTTGATTTATTGCAACAAGTCATTCGGTAACATTTCATAAAATTAAATGACTAAATACTTTAATGAAATTTCTGTTTGTAAAATCAGAATATTGTGCACTTTGTGTAATTTTATTTTACGTATCGAAAGGTTTGTGTCATTTTGATGTCCTTATTGTGTTTTTGTTTCAATAAATAATGTCAAAATTCACAAAAACTTCCTTATAAGTTTAGCTCTATGAAGTTGTAAATCGATGACTTTCTGTCATAAAGTATCCTTTAACAATACCCCTCTTATCTGTGTTGAACTAATCCATTATCTAGAATTCTACCTGGACATACGTCTAACTTGGAACCCGCATACCAGACAGAAACGACTAGAAACCATTTGACGTTTCCGAATACTTCGGCACTTACTGTAAAAATGCCCTAAGCTTTCAATTAATTATAAAAGGCTCATAATAAGATATGACAATAAGAAGGCCTATATGGACTTAAAGTGTGGGGTTCCACTAAACCATCGAATTCCTATTGTTCCAGTCCAGGCACCAATCCTTTCATAATAAACTTTAGAACCATCGGAAACCTCCTGTTTATAACCTTGCTCCCTGTTCGATTCCTGATAACCCTCAGAGGGGTCTGAAAAGAAGATGCCCCCAAGATCTCTTAATGTAGATATATTATTAGAGTGCTACCAATGGATAGTTTCTCAACAAGTGTTTTCATGTCATCATATTGATTTGTTCACATTTACTAGATGTATTTTTATTTTTTGAAATAGTTGTAAATATCATGAAAAAAAAATTAATTTTTTTGTAAGTTTTTCTTTCTTTCTTTTTTCTGTTTTATCCTATATTTATTTTTTTTTCTTATGGTTTCCTTCAGATGAAGAACTCTGCGACACAGACTTGTATGGATACCATGGGCCAAGCCGCCCCTACATTAATGAGCCTTTCTTATTGTCACGGCCATGGAAATAATCAGGTAAATTTTCATTTTAAAAGAGTATATTAATTGTACATATAATTTGCTGTAAACGAGAACTATTTTAAATCTCTTTTATTAAAGTTACTGTATTATATTCTAATTCTTACTAATCTAGCAATGTTTCTTTTCAGGCCATATATGCTTATAGTCGGTTGTATAAACTTCTTTTTATCAAATTATTAACATCCTCCTGAAACTTTGTGAATAGCTTCAGCTCATCTCATCGTAATCTACAACTATATTATTTACGAAAATTCTTAGAATTTGGGCGTTTTGAATCTGAAGATTGGCAAACTTTGTCTATTTAATTAGGTACTAAAAACTCGTAAATACACATTTGTTTTTCACTTGAATCGTAAGATAATTTGATCATAAAATTGAGAAAAAGGGTGGCATACAAAACTATTGGACCATTTGGAATGACCTACACCTCTAACATTTCAAAATAACGAGGCTTTATATGCCTATCACAGCCCAATATTTTTGTAGGCCACATTTTTTCTCAATTTTGTGACCACTTATCTTATGATCCAAGTGAAAAACAAATGAGTATTTACGAATTTTAGTACCTAATTAAATAGACAAAGTTTGCTGATCTCCAGATTGAGAATGCCCCAATTCCAAGAGTTTTCATTAATAAAAACTTCAGGTAGGTTACGATGAGATAAAGCTATTCACAAAGTTTCAGGCGAATGTTAATAATTTGATAAATAGGGATCTGTACCACGGACTATTATTTTCATCAAAACATCCACAATAATAAGGAAAAAATTCAACAATCACTCTCATAAATTTAAAACTTATCAACTAATATAATTCTTTAATAATCCTAATCAAAAATGTTTCATAATTATTTTTTTATTTAACCTATACAAATACTCCTATAAAAAAGACTCCTTTTTATGAAATTATTAACATCTGTTTGAAACTTCATTAATGGCTTTATCTTATCGTAACCTACAACTTTTTTTATTTATTTATTTTATAAAGTTCGTGGGAATGGGATGTTTCCAATCTGGAGATCGGTAAACATAGTCTAGTTAATGAAATGCTAAAAACCCACGAATACCCATTTGCTTTCCACTTGAATAGTAAGATAATTTTATCACAAAATCAAGAAAAACGGTTGCCTACAAAAATATTGGGCTGTTTGGAATGACATCTACCCCCAACATATCAAAATAACGAGATTATATTGGCCAAACAGACCAATATTTTTTAAGGCCACCTTTTCTCTCGATTTTTTAGTGGAGAGCAAATGGGTATTCATGAGTTTTATCATGACCTCATGAAATTAATTAATTTAATGAGAAATCGCTGCAGTTCTGAGAATTTTCGCAAATAAAAAAGTTTTAGGTTACGATAAGATGAAGTCATTCACTCAGTTTCAGGCGAATGTTAATAATTTAATAAAAATGGGTCTTTACCACAAACTAAAAGTTCTAGTTTGAAATAAACTTCACGTTGTTGATACATACTCCTGATTTTTTTTTTTTCTTTTTATTGATATTTTACATTATTCTGGTCAGTTTTAAAGAAAGTTTATTTTATTTATATGGTGATGACTAAATTTAGTTGCATGTTTTTCTCTAATAAGTAACAGGTATTATAATTATTATCATAGTTATAATTTCATCAATAACAATACTCTAGAATATTTTATTTATTAATAATTCCTATTTTTTTCGAGGAAACCAATTTTGTTATAAAAATGTTTCTTTTTTAGCTAGTTCGTCTGAATGCAAAAGGACAACTGGGGATTGGAGAGAGGTGTATTGATTCCGACTCATCAGGTATCAAGCTTGTCTTTTGTCCGTTAGGATCAGTGAGTGGACCTTGGCAATATGATGAGGTAATTAGTTATATACTGTATTATTTTGAAAATGGGTTGGACTTTGTTTATATTGCAAGCTATCGTTTATCATATAGTTTTATTCTCATGTGACAAATTCTTAAAATAGAGGTAATGATGTGGTGAATAGAAATGGTAAGAAAGCTATACTTCCTACCAGTTTTTTTTGTAAATATATAAAATTTTCACCTCTGACGCCTATGAAAAAAAATTGGGTATTCAGTGTGAATAGCTCAAAACCATTTTTTTCTATGACATGGCTGCACCATGAAAATGATTAAACATTTTGATGAAATGCCCAAATTTTTCTTCTTAAAGCCCTCTAACTTTTCATCAGTAATTAATTTCTGATATAAAGAATGAAAAATGTTATGACAAATCATAAATTTATTTTTTTTTTGTGCATTAATCCGAAAATATCCATTTTATGTTAAATTTTATATTTTTATAAAGATAGTTGGGTAGAATCCTCAGTTGTTGGCACCCCACCCAGTTTTTAGGCACCCGCTGCAGTTGTAGAAGAATATTAAGCATCGGAAATGGTCTAGAGCTGAGGAAAGGCGCTCATTTGAAGCATATTCTAGCATCTCTCACTATTTATTTAGTTTTATAGGCAAATAAAAAGCTGAGGATTAGAAAAGATTAGGTGTCGCCCAGGATGAACGTGTTTTCGTTTTTTTTTTTTTTCAAGGAACACACGTCTCTGCACAATATCATTGTAGTTCTTTCATTCTGAAGGCTGTCAGATTCAATTCTTTAGGTATTTGGGTAAGGGGTGTCGAAAGCTGATACTTCAGAATGCCGAAAACTGCTGCATAACGATATTTTTTCATTTTACTATAAAAAAATAAATGAAAGTCAATGTTTCACATTTATATTTTGAAATTCGAGATCTTTATGGACTTAACAGAACTGACATTGTTGAACAAAGTACTCACGTGATTGAAAACAGAACAAACACATTTTAAAGTTTCCTTAAGTGTGTCGAAAACTGAGGGTTTTACCCTACGTATACATCTCTATAGAAGTTACAAAAAATTGTTTATCAAAGTACACCGGTATTACCAAAGGCATGACATATGCAATTATGTATCCATGTATTTTAAAAGTATTCTGTTCATGTTTCTATGGAAATCAGTTTGTTTTTTTTAGTCCCTCAAATCTCTACATTGAAATACCATATATCATTTGAAATATGATGAAATTTTCAACAAAACTATAATATGAGAAAAATTCTTTGAATAGACAAACCCCTCATATTTTGTATATTTAATTTTGATCATTTATTGAATACAATTTTACTTGATGCTTCTATTTTTCCATCCTTTCAGGATACACATGTCCTGTATCATAAACAGAAAAGGAAATGTATGGCTGTTCATCCCCAAAGTCAGCACCTTTCCCTGGCACCTTGCGACACTGTCAATACGTACCAACAGTGGATATTCCGGGAGGTACAGCCTACTTAAGATGAAGGAATGAGAAATAAATCAAAAGACATGTGCCTGTAAAATGAATGACAGCGATTCAGAACTGCTGTAATTTTGGACATTCCTCTGCAACATATCAATTGACCTTAACAAATATTCGAATAATTCATCTTAAACATATTTATTGTTAGTGTTAATTATTTCAATTATTAAAAAATATATTTATAAGTATATGTCAAAAACAGTTTTATTTTTATTTTTATTCTAGTTTAATATAATAAATTTGATCTTCCGTTTGGAATGATTGCAATCTATTGGTCTTAGCCAAAAATTAATTATTGTTCTGTTAAATTTTAATTTTTATCACACATACTTCTTCAAGAACTAAAATATATAATATCGTTTATGTATATATATTGGAGAAGTATGCTTGTTTATATATGTTTCACATTTTACTGTATTCTGTCTCTCTATATCTATCTCCAAATTTTAATTTTAATAAACTTTGTGAAATGCCAATTTTTTAAAATTATTTTTTATATAAGCATAAATAAAACATGAAAACTAATACATTTACACTCAGAAGTTCATATATTTATGAAGTAATACATTTTTTTTTTATTTATACATATTTATGAATATATAATTTTTATTTTAATCTTTATGTACTAAAAGAAAGTATTTTCAATATTATTTTCTTTATCCGAAATTTATTTTTAAATTGATATTTATCACTTATGGTATTTAAATGTCATCCATTCAGTTTTTGGATTTGAATATTAATTAATAAAAATAAGTAATTAGGAAGCAAAATTCCTAAAATATTTTTAGATACTTTTCATGTTTAATTGTTTTTTGTTTAGTAAGGTTTTTAAACAATTTTTTTGTTGAATAATGGTTTGCATGTAATGCAGGTTTACACATTTCTCAAATGCCGCTTGGTATTAAACGCTTGTGTTCCTGAGAAATATTTTGTTTTAAACCAGGCGTTGGAACTTTCATTGAACTTTTTTAAAAAGTTCCATTTTAACAGTATGTGTGAAATTTTGTAAAATATAGCCTGGAACTAAAGTTTTAAGAAAACTTAAAATAAAAGTTCTATGGAACTTTTTTGTAATAAAGTTCCAGATTTATGGTAACAGTTTAACTTGTATTAATTCTATATTTATATGCTTTTTCTTGAATGGTACATGATTTGGACGATGTGTAAAGTCTTCTTGAAGTATAATAGATTAGGAGAATAAATACTTGTTTAGGAAATTATCCAATTGTGATTAAAATGTATTATGTGATATGATGTAATTATAATATTAAAAAGATGTTTGTTAACAATTTGATTTATGAAGGTTTTTAATCAGCTGTGTCTAATTTCGAAATTTAAAAGTCCAAATTAAGCTTAATATTCGATACAGGATATATTTTTGAGGTTTCATTAATAATCAAACAAATCATTAATAATAGGTAATAGCCATACTGCAAAAGCCTGCAAGTGCAATCCATAAAATTATTTATAAGATGAAATAAACCACATATTTCTTATTATATGAAGCACTTTCCGTTCAATTGTACTTAATGGCTTTTGCAATGTAGCTTTCGATATTTTATTATAATTAGGCTAATTATTTATAATTTTTTTTTTATTAAATAGATGAATTTTAATGAAATAGTTCTTTGATGATGATATCACAAATTAATCGATCCGCATGATTTATAGTTATTTTCTTGGTATGCGATGTCCAAAAACATTGGCAACCACAGTTTTGATCATTTGAAAATCAAGGATATAAATGGAATTTTTATTTATTAAAATAATTGAGATGTGTATAATTTTAACTAACTGAACTTTGATATATTTTTAAATTTACTTTGTTTAAAAATTTTACAGATTTCATTTAAATAAAATATAATTGTAAGATAAAATGCAGCTGTTATTGGCTATTGTAAAGAACACAATACCATAAAGGTGCGTTTAGACATTTTACTAACTATGGGAAACAAACATTTAAATATTTTTTTCCTTATGCTCATGTTTATGTTTTCCATCTGCTGTCGCTAACAAGAGAGAAAAAAAAAAAAGTTAGTCTTAGCCCTAATTTGTCATTGCTATTAGTTAAGTTGGATTATTGTTTCCCATAGTAACAATATCACATTATGATTGTCATTAAATAATTATATCAATAAATATTTGTTTAGATCTCTTACTGTTTTAAACACATTTTCAATACAATATTAACTAAAGCATTCAGCAATAGAAATAGTTCGAGTGAAGTTAGTTTTTTTCTACTCAGTTGTAAAGCTTAGAAATTGCGAATTTTTAATAGTATTTATTAAAACTAAATATTTATCTAATTTTTTTTTACATTGTGGTTATAAATGTCAAAAAGAATAGATATTTCAATTTTTTTTTAGGTTTCCATATTCGGTAATGATTTAAATTTCTCTTACTTTGTGTTATAACATTTTGAAGGTTTCTTAGATATATTTTAGTTAATCTGGTTTATTTCTTTTTCATGTTCTACTGTCATTACTATAGTTTATCTTAACTTGGGACTCCTTTGACCCAGTAAGGTATTACTTTGTTCCACTGAAACAAATGTTATAAATTACATCTATGTCTCTTATGAAAATAGATAAATAATTAACAATCTTTACAAGATACAGTAGTGTTAAATATTAAGAAACTAAACCTTCCCATTACTTTATTTTTGTTTGGATCAAAGTTACGCCAAGTCATATGATCTAGATATATTGTCAATTTATTGCAAAAAGTCATTAAGTATATTTTTAATAGAGCTGCACTTATAAGTACATTGTTGTGAATTTTGGCCATATTTATTGATATAAAAACCCGTTTATATATCAAATATATTAACAATAATAGCAAAATATTTTGATTTTGTCAAGGAAAAATTCATCAAAGATAATTTAATTTTGTGAAATGTTACTTAATGACTTTTTGCAGTAAACCCACAATATATGTTTCTCAGATTCATGATGTATAGTATGTTTGAGAATAATTAATTATTATTTGCACTTAAAAATTAAAAAAATTAAAATACAAGATTACAATTTATATTTACTATAAAAATGACTGGATGACATTTAATCAATTATTGCTTACAAAAGTATTATATTTTGTTAAAAATTATAATGATAATGATATATGTTATCATTTTGTAGAAATTATATTTGTTTCATTGGACACGACTTGCTTATATATTTGCTGTGTTCTTTCTTCCATAAACGTTATATATTAGTATGTATCAAGGCATATTGTGAAAATTTGTTCCAAAACTTCCAATGTTCTCTCCATCAAAATTGTTTGTATTTTTTTTCCTTCCATTTCCTTAAATGATCGACTTGATATCAAAACGCTTATGAATTGTATTGTTAAAGTCTTCTAAACAATGAACCAATGCTTTTGTGTATTAAAGATAGGTATTGATTATTGCTGTCATAATACTAAACTTTAAATATTATCTTCTTTTTTAATATTACTTGCTTTGGTTTATGAAATATATTTCTGTGATAATTATTAATTTTGAAAGAAAAACTGTTGTTAAAAGTCATCCAGGAATGATGTTATTCTACGATTTATTTAATTATAGCACTATATGATTGTATAGTATTTTTGGAAAATGTAATTATAATAATTAATGTAGATATTGAAGGTCTTCCAGGTGATGTAGGACTATCTTTTCTGTGCCTTATCTCAAATTGATATCTTTTCTTCATTTACAGTCTTATTCATTGCGTAGACATCTTTATTATTGTATGTGTTTTAAAACAGAGTGTAAAATAATATTTTCATGTGGTTTTGGATATATTTAAATATGAAACCTTGTTATTTGATTTTTACAATCAAACCAAGTTGCCTGATAAAATTTTAATAGATTTGTAGTATAGATTATTTATAATTATTTATAATATATAAGTATAGATTATTAATAATTAGAATATTTTATTTGTAATTATTGTAAATATGGTATATTTTTAAGTTATGCATTTAAGCAGCGAGCATTCCATTAATTTTATATATTTATTGTTACAATTTATACATTTGATTTTATAAATTATATTATTTTATTAATTTTATCATTTAATAAACCTTCTTTTATTTTAAATGGTTTGTGTATGTACTTCACAGTATTTAATAATGTCATTCACTAACTAACAAAGGATTTAATTTGCTCCTCCAAGTACCGTGTAATCTCAGTTATTCAAATTATCAAACTCATTATGGCAATGAAAGGAATTGTTAGGTTACGGAAAAGTTAAGACCACAGATGTTCATGAAAATCACAGAGAATAATAAATTTAACCTCATTAAAAACATATAAGTACATCATCAGTTTATTGCAAAAAATTTCATTTAGTAACATTCAAATAAATTAAATCACTAAATATTTTGATGAATTTTCTCCCTGTGAAATCAACGTATTAATAACAGAATTTATTTTGGTGCAAGTAATGAGTTTTTTCATTGATCATATGATCAAAATTCGCTAATATGTAGTTAAAAGATTAGCTAGCTGCATCAAAAAAACACCAAATGACTTTTTGCAATATACTGATGATATATTCATGAACTTAAATACATTTTTTTTTAATAATTAAATTTATTTTGACTTTTGGTGGGTTTCTCTCACTGCTTCTTCTCAGTCGGAGGAGAAGTATTGTCATCATGGCATATTTTACTTTACTGTCACTCTATTAGGGAGTGGGGTAGCTCAGTGGTAGGGTACTGAGCTTTAAATTCTAAAGGTCCCAGGTTCGAATCCCGGCGCATGGCAGGAAAATTATTTATTCTATTTCATTGGCCGTGGGGTGACCCTGGGTAGGTAGACCCTCTTGTGGCACACCCAGCCTCTGTATAGTGGGTACCCTCAATTAAGTAATTGATTAAAGGGAAAAACCTGGCGAAAAAGTGCTTTTCCTAAACAGTACTGAACCCCTAACACTTCATGGGTTGTATGGGTACAGGTTTTTTTATTTTATTTTTTTACTTGTCACTCTATTTTAGTAAAAGATAAAACATTAAAATGGAAAGAGTATTTATGTATGCATATCAGCTTAGAAAATTTCTGGAAATTAAACTAAGCAGTTAGGCGTCTCAGTATAAAAAAAACAACACTTTTGAAGTGAAAACTTCTTTAGGCGTGGGTAGTGAATAAGACTGAGCTGTCACTCTCATCTGGTTAAAGTTGTCTCAAGGCACAAATTAAAATATCTCAGAAACTAAAAATTGGATCTACATACTGTCATCCTCTTTGTAATCAGCTACTGTTCAAAATTGTTTCTTGATGTAACGTATTAGAGACGAGATGTAAGTAACGTATTTGGTTTAAAATATTTCAAAAAATATATTGAATTGGGATTGTTCAGTAAGATTTTATATCACTATTCAAAAAGCCTTTTTAGACCAAGATTTTATCAGTCTTCAGTTAAATAAGCCCGTATCACTATAACCCATGAAAGGTCTTGGGTTCATTACTATGTATGGAAGTACAACTGTTTCAATGCCAACAGTTGTACAAGTAGGTGATTAGACCAGAATCATGCTCAACCGCCAGGTTTTCCTCCTTAATTAATTATTTAATTAAAAGTATAGTGCATCTAAGATAGGTTTGCGTGTAGGGGAAGGGAGCTCACGCAGCTTTCCGCCACTTAAGTTCCACCTCTCCAAGACCTCACTCCAGCTCCACTTCCCCTCTTCACCATAGCAACCACCTTATACCGGGAAAGCTTTATTTCATTTTCTTCAAATTTCGTACAAATTTTTATTAAAGGTAGGGGTTTTAATTAAAAATAAAATAAAATAATTATCAAGCATAGTTAAATAATCAAATTAATGGGGGAGGGAGAGGGAGGAATACTCCCAGCCTCTGTTTTCATGAATTTATTTACGTTCAAAATTACATTTTTTGTTCGAGAGTGGATAGTTTTCTTTCTACCCAGTTTACGAAAATTGATAAAAGAAATTTCTACTGGTAAACAAAATTTCATTCGGACCGGAGAAAGATGAATTTACCAGAAAGTTCAGACGGTTACACAACGCCAAATTGCATATTGTATCAGGTAAATATAATTGAGGTTATTACATCGCAGTAAATAAAATGCTCTTGTGACATTGTTGGACTTAGTAATAAAAGAATTCCTAAAAGGTTAATGTTTGCTGTGCTGACCCGACTGATAAACATCCAAGAGTTAGACCAAAACGAAAATGGGAAGATTGCAGTAAGACCGATCAGAAGGAACTGGGTTTGGATGGCGGAGACAGGTGTGTATACAGCAATTGGCGGTGTCGGCATTGAACCTTCGGGTTCATTAAGCCTTTTATTATTATTATAAAAATAATTTTAGAAGTATGTATGAATGAGTAGAGATGAGAGAAGTGGGGGTTAGAGGGAAAATGTTTTGCCACTCTGCATCTCTCTCCCTCTCTACCCACCCGCAAACTTATCTTAGATAGTCCACTCATTTTATAGAGGCTGGGTCTCCCATGCCTGATGAAAAATTAATTGTCAGTCAGATTCAAACCCAGGATCTTGAGCTTTGAAAGACAGTGAAAATATCTGATCTGCATAATGCTGCTATGAAAGTTTGATTTACTTCCACTCAACTTTCCCCCCCCCCCCAAAAAAATGCTGATGGAATTGAGATGAAATTTCTGTATCGAGGATATATCTGAAAATGACGTGACCTTCGTTATAAAGTAATGCTTTGGTTCTTAAGGTTTAATCTTTTCATGCTGTTCATTTAAGTGAAGTGTTACCCTGTATTTGATGGTTTAAAAATAAATATCCAAGTTGTAGTTATATGTCTTGTAATTAGAATTTACTCAATCATTAAAGCATACTAGATATAAAATATTAATAAAATCTTTCAGTGATGCTTTCTAAAAAAGGAATATCTAATATCTATCTGAATATTAACCAAACTATTATCTCTGAACAGAATTATTTTCTCTTTTTGGTCTAATTTTCAGAACCTATACTTCTGTAATAATTTTGTTTTATTTGTCAAAAAAAAAATATATTATTTTGTTAATGCTCTAGAGAATTATCCTCATCTTCAGGGCATTTTATTAACAGTATTCAATTATTGAATCATTTTGTCATAAATTAGAATTTCCATATAATAATCCAATAAATTATAATTTAAGAAGTATTCTGTTACTTAACTACAGGTTTGTCAAATAAAATATAATTATTAAATTACTCTAGTTTAAATTTTGTTTTAGCTATAGAGTTTGTCATGAAATTTTGTTTCAACTAAGGACATTGCTGGAAAATTTGGTCCCAACTATTCGAATTGTTGAAAACTTTAATCCATCCCACAAGAAAATAAAAAAATTATAACAATGTTTCTTCTGAGAGATTTTTTATTGTTAGAAGAAATTAAGCTTCTGTGCTTCTTAATATTGAAATTGTTCAATTGCAATAATAAAGTATTTATATTGTCTACGCCAGTTTTCAGCTATCTATGCCCGCTTACTCAATTATATATATATATTTTTATTGGTATTCACTTACTCATCGTAGCATCCAGTAATTGTTCTGGTAAAATCTCATCACTTTTATAAGACATCAAAATCTAGAAGATTGGATTTACATAATTTACCCTGCTATTGAAGGAAAAAGAGAGAGGGATAGGGTATATGAAAAGATCAAAACTACTCCATTCATATTTTTATTCTACAAATAGATTGATACATTTAAATTATAGGGCTGGGTTGATAAAAAACTTCGATTAAATCAAATCAACCAAACACATTTCCATTTTACCCTAAAAAAATATTTTATCTTTGGTAATGGCAAAAAGGAAACAATTTGTCAAAGATTGTGCCAACAACCAAGACTATTGATAATTTAATCAACAACCTCGAGTCTTCGACATAGAAATATTAAATATCAAATACAGTATGACTAGTGCCGTAATATAGTCGGTCCGCAAACCGAATTGCACAAAATATATCTGTTACAAATAATTCGTTAAAGTGTTACAATCACAAAACCCAGAGAGAGAGAGACAAACAATTAATTTAACCCTACGCAAATGTTTCCTCTATTTAAAAAATAAAACAATAATCACTGTAAAAAACAAAAACAAGTTGACATTTTAAAAGCCTTTTTTTTCTGAACAACATAAAGATGTATAAAAGATGCTAAAACTAGGTGTTCTATTTAGAAGTCAACTGTGTGCTGTGCTTGTGCAGGGTGCAATTACAGATCTACGATTTAGGCTAACATTCTGTACACGTTCGTTTTCCCTGCTTTAGGGATGTGGTCGAGTGCTTACAGTGGAACAAAAAAATAAAATAAAATAACAACTTAACAAGTATCAGAGAGAACCTAATCATATGAACACACATTTCTTTATTTATAATAAAATATTCACATTTCCCTTTTCGCAAAGACTGGTCTGTCAAATATTATCCATTGAGAAATTTCTTTGGTAAAAATGTATCCTAGGCTCACCCTCCTTTATCACTTTTTACAATCTTTTAAATATACATTCGTAACGATTTGGACTGAGTCTATAAAGTACAATTTTCCTCATCTATCTTAGGTCAACAAACCGTCGAGGACTTGTACTCTTCATTTTTTTTTTTTAATTTTTTTATAATTAATAATATATTATTAATTATAATATTATTATATAAATAAGTCTTAAAAACGAGGTTTCACTAATATGATACAGAAATCCTTATCTTTGGTATAACACTCAGCTGTATAATACAATGAATGAGGATATATATATATATATACATTTATATTGTGTGGTTGAGATCTGGAACCGAGGATGATGATGTCGCCTATTGGGCGGCGCCGATAGGCGAGGAGGCGCTGGCTCCGGAGCTGGCCCTGGTGGCGGCCATCGGTGACCTGGTCGCAGCCTCCTCTTCCCCGCACCCTCCTCCGTAGTAGTAATAGCTACCGTCTGCAACAAAACAAACAACAATATTAATTTTAACCCAATTATGCTAAATTAATATAATTTTCAGCTCTAAAGCCCATCTTCAATTGTATGTTATTTTTTTAATAGGTTATTTTTTAAATAAGCCAAATTAAATAAGTTAATAACTATGCTACTGTTTTTTTGCCAATTCAGCTATCATCAGGACTACCCTCTTTTTGAAAACATATTATTCAAATCAATTACTATTCAAATATTTGTCATTTGTTACATTCCATGCAATTGTTAACATAAAAACCCAATGTAGATGATAATATTTGGGAGGCAGTAATAGCACATTTCTTCTTCAAGTAAAACCTATCTGAATAATAAGAAATTTTAAATAAAACAGCTGATCACCGTAATAAGTTTAAATAACTAACTATATAAACTAGTTAGCTTTATATCGAACAGTATTTTATCATGGGTGTAATTTTTATCATGGGTGTACTTTTTATCATGGGTGTAATTTTTTATTTATCCAGAAATATAAAGTTTTCTTTTCTTAATAACTTTTTTCATGACAATTTCGGGGGATGTGCCTATTTTTTTCATATTAAGAAGAAGATAATCTACAAGATGATGGCTTAATCATCGGATAAAATGAAGATTTAACTTTGTATATTATGGTAAACCGATAAAGAAATACCTTCCATATTAACATAGAAAATATAACATATAATTAAAATTTATGGTGAAAACACCTGATATCACTTTTACAGTATGATAATATCCAATAATTTTACAATAATCATAATAATTTCCTAAAATATATTTCATTTTTTCTCCCACAGTTCTTAATTTGAAAAAAAATCTAATTCAAATTAAATAAAAGTTATAGCTGCAAAATTAATTAATTTTATTTATTTATTTTTTAATAAACAGACCCACCAGAAGATAAGTAATGATTATAATTGAAGAAACTAAATATTTAATATTATACTCATTATACTTAAATGGAATGGTAAAATAATTCCATGTCTTATGAAAAAAAAATGTTAAAAATTATCTCTAAAAGTATTATTGTTCGTGTAATTACATTAATAGAACTTCAATAATTAATTAAACACCACTTTGTTTAGGTATTTGGTTCCTTTATTTTTCTTACAAAGTCATTACTGTTATATTTAAAAAAAAAAAAGTTAAAGAAACTTTCAGGCTGAAGACTCCCGCCCAAAATGAAATTGTGGATTCACCAATGACAGCCATTTGCTATAAAATTAATGATATTTATTTTCTACTAAGCATAAAATTGAAACTCAACAAAGATCAGAATCTTATAAAACAAGATGATTACATTGTTGTAAAATATAGATAGGTCTGGAAATATCTTGAAATAAAAGTGCAGACAAACAATTACAGTGTAATATTTAACTAAAAACTTCCCGACATGAACAAAAGAACATTGAATCAAGAAATAATTATGATAATCGTACAGATCAATATTAGTTAATATTTATTACCTTTTTGTTCATGTCTTAAAGTGATACACTGTTACTTGTTAATGCTTCATTTTTAGACCATTCTGAGATATTTGTTCTAGTTTTGTTTTTATGTCCTGATAACGCTTGGATTGGCAAAACATTGGCTAGTTAGTTGGCTTAATGTTTAGAAAATTTAATTGCATCCTCTTTTGGCTAAGTATAATTTTATGACTCTTCTTGCTATTTTATACGTTCAAATATTATTTAATTTATAACAGGTAACAAAAAAAAAAAGTTTAACAACATTGGGTGGTATATTGATGATTTTATAATGTGAAATGAAAAAACAGGATTAAATTAAGAATGTTGAAGAAAACCTATAAAAAAAAACTCTAAATATCATAACTTGGGACAACTTGGACGAAAGAGAAGAAAAGTTTTAAATTACATTTAGACTACTTATTATGAAAATATAGGCCTAGTTCTTAATCCCTATAACAGGTAGCAGCACCAGTCCTCAGACAGTACACACTTCACATTTTCATCTACTTTTTCAGTCTGGATCCAAAAAATTCATAAGTATTTAATTGTGCCAAAGTTTTCTTCGCTATATAAATTTCAAATTAACCCATAAAACAATATTTCAAGTCATCGAATAAGATTTAGAGATGTTATCTATGGTATCGATATGATAGAGAACACTATTGAATACAATGAGAAATTTAAGTATCCATAATGACTAAATTTTAGACTTATTACAGCCAAAATTATCAAGATTGCAATCCATTATGAATACACTGTTCATTTCGGGTGCGCAATATGGCCGCTTACATTGAAGAAAGAATTACTCAAGGTCCTCGAAAACATTGCGTGCAGCACTATAGTACTGAAGATTTTACTTTGGTTTTTTTTTAGTAATGGCTTTTTTTTTATAACGGCAATTACTATTTTAGAATAAGAAAGAAAAGAAAAAGGTAATTACAGGAGCAATAATGTGCTTTTATGGGTGAAATATATATATCTTTTCTTTTTTTTTCATACACGCCTTTACATTTAGTAACTGTATATACGCCATAAAACGAGAAAATATTGTTATTGTTTAAGTATTTACGAGTTAATCAGATTCCTCACAGAAACAATTATGGCCTAATCACTAGCGGATCCAGGATTTAATTTTTTGGGGGAGAGAGGCTTCAGCCCGAAAGCTTTTTTTTCATAAAGATGACGATAATTACTTTGGAAAAAAAGAAAGAAAATAACTATCGATATGAAATGGTGTTTAAGTGATTCCTAAAGTCCTTTTAAATGTAATTACACGAACAATAATACTTTAAGAGACAATTTTTTAATATATTTGAAAAATGAGCCTAATGAAAAAAAAAAATCTATTCGACTGAGGGAAGTTCTCGTTGATCTGCTATTGGCGTACATTATTTTGCCCGAAGAAGGATGACTCTATGGAAGAATTTAGGAAATGTCAAAGGTATTATTGTGATTAAGTTTTTTAGATAATAATATGGCAATGGTTGAAATGAGCCATCTAATGCAGTTATGGAAACGAGCTCTGCATTGTTATGCTTTCTTGTCATTTCATTTTTATAACAGAAATCGTACCTTATATAATCTAATCGACTGCAATTATAATTGTACCAGAAAACATTGTTCTTATACATAAATTGTGTTTCGGTCATTTCTGTAAGCATAAATCCTAAATGCATTTTTTTCAACATCAACATCACACGAAAATAAAATCCTTGGATATGCAGATGATATAGCAGTTCATGGAAGTAATCAAGAGGACATTGAGAAACTCGCAAAGACTCTGATAAGAGGAGCAGAGCAGATCGTCCTACAAGTAAATGAAGACAAAACAAAATATATGATAATAATTCGACAATTCCACCTCAATAACAGGATCTGCATAGAAGGAAAATCATTCCCGAGAGTAGAAAAATTCAAATACCTCGTCTCCAAAATAACCTCAATGAATGGCCTACGGTCGGAAATAGACCAGCGTACATCTAACGCAAACAGAGCTTTCTTCTCCCTTTCAAAAGTATTGAAATCCCGAAAAATCTCACGAAATATTAAATTAAAGATGTACAATACAATGAAGATACCAGTTCTAATATATGTGGCTGTGAGACTTGGGCACTAACCAGTGCCTTAGAAAAAAGTATTGATTTGAAAGAAAAAATTCTTCGTATGAAAACCGGAGCGATCAAGTAACTGAGTAATAACACATGGAGAAGATAGACCAATAAAGAACTGCTTAAAGAAACTAGTCAATCAATATCTCATGCTATGAAGGCATAGAGGTTAAGATGTAGCTCGGAGGAATCAATCTGGAAGCATCTACATAACAATGTATGCCTCAATAGAAGGCAAAAGACCACGTGGAAGGTCAAAAAACAGATGGACAGATCGAATCACCAAAGATGCGATAGAACTGCATGCAGATAACTGGAAATAGCCTAAGATAGGCTTAGATAGAGTAGGCTTGTCAGTAGGCCAAAAAAACAAAAACAAGAATTGCAATTTTTTTTATTTTAATATAGATTACATTATATTAGTTAATGAAATGAAGTGTCTAAACTCTATATTTTCAAAATAAATTAAAATCATTGTGACATTAGCTGTTCATTGTTCCCCATTTTTCCAGCTGTCTCCACGACAGAAAATTTCAGCCTTTAAACTCTGGTTCTTGAACGACCTCGCGAATATGGATGGTCAAAACATTTTATATTACAATCGGACAGACCCGAGAAATGGCGGCAGAGACTACTCGATGGAATGACTGCTATAACCTCCAGAGAGGCAGCATTAGCATTTAGTTTAATACTCACGGTTTACTTACTGAGGAGGCCTCCTGGTCCAGAAGGGTAGTTGTAGCCGCTGTAAGCTGTCCCGGTGTACTGCGTGTAGGGGGCGCTGTACCCGTACTCCGAACCTCCGCCTGCAATAACGGAAGGTGTGAGGCATGTTAGGAATAATAGAGGTAAGGTTGCTTATATAAGTTGTGATAGCGAAGTAAGTATCGTTATTATTCAGAAATATCGAAATGGCAATTCGATATATTAATATTTGTATTCTTCAAAAAGAGCTAAGATGTACAATAAAACAAACAACACAGAGCAATAATTACACACAGTATCGATATTTATCGAACATGTTCATACATCTATAAAATTATCGATATTTTAGGCATGTATGTTGTTAATCTTTGAAATAAGGCGTAAATAGGATTAACAATGAATCGAAGTCACGTATTTGTATTGCTTCTACACCAACAATGAAATATTTATACATTGTTTATTGTGTTGCCCAAATATTTATAATGCGCACTGAGTCTTAATCTTGGTCTCAGTCATGCGCAAGACTTTCGCAAGAGTCTTGCAGTTACCTATTAGCTTAGTGATATTTATAAAACATGTTACTTTAGATCTCAGAAAACACTACAGAATAAGTACATTTAGATGTTATTTTTTACATTAACATAGTAAAGTCCAACCATATTAATAAAATTTACTTGACAATACATTTAAGGCATTGTCAAGAAAGATAGTGATAGGCTCCCACCTTGGAACGGAAGAGTTGTAGTGTAAAGACAATCTATACAATCTCAACAATTGTTTAAATAAAAAACCTAGTGTTTATCCACTGACATGACTTTTCTACTTATTTTAAACAATTTTTAAAAATTTTAAATATGTTCATTAAAAATAATATATTTAACATACGAGAAAATTAACTAAACACCGAATGAAAAATTGGAAGAGTTAAATACAAAAGTATATTGGTTCTACCAATTCATTACATATACTAAAATTGTCTAGTATAGATAACTGGTTTGCCTTAATTTGTATTCACAAAAACATGTTTTTTCATTTTTATCATTCTTGTTCTAGCTATAATCGTTGGTCTTGGTCTTGCAAAGGGTAAGACCAAGACCGATTTTGGGCTACACTAATTGTTTATAAAAAAAAAAAATTATTAGTTATTTGGCAATGATTACTTCCAATTAGCAACACTTGAATATATTTGTTGTGTTATCAAAATTTCGTGTTTACAAGTTTACGTTTCGGAATATTTACCCCCATCTTCAGAACCACAATCCTAATGTGGATCTTGTGGATACAAGGCTTAAACATAATGTGCTCCATCGTCAGTTTCTAAATCATGTTATAATAATCTAGGTATATAACATCTAGAGCAACATCTTGCTTTTAGACTAATTATTGGATGTCTGCACGGGCAATATAAATATCCGAGTAAATATCCCGAAACGTAAACTTGTAAACATGCAATTTTGATAATACAACAAATATATTCAATTGTTGCTAATTGTAAGTAATCATTGCCAAATAACTAAGAATATCATACAACTTCCCAGAAAAAGAAAAGAGAATAAAAATTTATAAATATTGATTTTTTTTACGAATTTTCTCAAAAAAAAACTTTTTAAGGCATTGAAAACAAAAAAAATCAATTGCATGGCTTAAAATGAAGAAAAATAAATTTGAACTAGTAATGATTAAAGCCTAAAAAAATAATTAATATTTTCATTACAAAAAAAAAAAAAAATGGAAAAATAAACTCATAACAAAAAAAAGTAAAGAAATATTTCTTATGTATTGTGTTTAAAATTAATATTAGTGTTCTCTACTGAGTGAAGCGGGCTATTATTGTAAGTGTTGCCCAAATGCGAGACCGAGACGAGTCTTGCTCTTGCAAACTCAGTCTTGGTCTTGTGCAAGACTCTCGTAACAGTCTTGCATTTACCTATTGGCTTATTACTAGAGAGATATTACTGTAATTTTTTAGATATAAGAAACCTAACTAAGTCTGAATGAAAAATTAGACGAGTTAAATCAAAGTATATTGGTTATACCAATTCTTTACATATAGTAAATAAAATTGTCAAGTATTAGTAGCTATTTTGCCTCAATTTTTATTCAAAAAATCGATTTTTTTATAAAACAGACCGACCAAGACCGATTTTGGGCAACACTAATCATCGTAGACATTTTTATATTATTTTTTTGGAAAAAATATCGTTTTTTTTTTATTCAAATTTTAATATCAATATAAAATATTATTACCCAAACATATATTAAAAAAATAAACAATCTGTTTTATGTGCCCACCAATAAGTGGCCTTTTCTTGTAGACATTTCTTTTTATTCAATATTTTTTTCAACAATATCTGTTTCAGATAATTAAATTTTAAAATCGATATAAAAAATATCAAACAAAAATATCGATCTTTTTTTTTAAAAAAAAAATATATCCATGTTTTTTTTTAAAACAATCGATATAAAAAAATGCAAACCAAAATATCGATATTTTTTGTTGAAAACCCTAAGCTGTAATATTGGGACTTACCTGAAGGAGGAGCGTAGTAAGGCGCGGTGTAGGTCGGCTGGAGGACGGTGAGGGCCGAGGGGTCCTGGGGGCCGGGGCTGGGGGCGGGGTCCGCGGGCAGCGCGTCCTCCTGCGGGCCCCCGTCGCTCCCGTACTGGGCTAGTGGTAACAACATGCACACAACGCTATAGACCACTCTATCTATACTAGCATCTATACTAACATCTATACTAACATCTATACTATAATAACACTTAACATGCACACGAATTTACCTCTATTATCGAAGGTCTCCTACTTAGAACTCTACAGAAAACTGTGAAGCTCATTCGCCTTATAGGCATCACTTAGATGAGGGTAAAATTTATGATCCATATCTAAGGTATCCGTCCGCATCTATAAAGGGCTTAAGACAAGGGATTGTCTTGCTTGTCTATTTTTTAACTTTTTTTATTTTAATGAAAAAAAATGTTAACATGACAAGAGAAACTACCCATTGGTAGAACTCAAATTAAAGTTCTATATTAGAAGATCCCGAGGCCATCTTCTATTCAGACGCCTCGGTTATCAGGGATCGAGGAGGATGCAAGGTTTGAAACAAGACAGTTCGGATGGTTCTGCAGTTTGTTATGGAAGGATAGGTATCTGGATTGAGCCAAATCGGTAACATATGGAACATTAAGGTCTTTATGGATGATTTTATTTTTGACAAAGTAAGGAGCGTTGAAGATTTTGGATTGTAAGGATTGGATACTAGAGAAATTCGATGGTTTAGTGGATCCCCAAAGCTCAATTACGTAAGTCCAAATAGGTCTTATTATTGTCAAATATATGACTCGTTTGTAATTGATTGAAAGCTTAGAGCGTTTGTCTAATAAGTGCTGCAGTAGTTTCCAAGTGCAGTAGTTTGTCCAGGTGGAGTCCTAGGTATCGGATTTGTTCGACAGGGATAAGAGGGCTATTGTTGAAGGATACTGTAGGACAGGAAATCATAGGTTTACGAAAAAGAGTGGAGGTAATTAGATGGGGATTTATTGAAATTTATTTTAATCCTCCAGTTTTGACACCATTTTTCAAGACTTGTGATGTGTGATTGAAGAGTTTGAGATACAATAAATGGATATTTATTAACTGATAGGATACATGTGTCATCGGCATAGGAGGTGATGACAGTGTTGGATTGGGTTGGGATGTCAGCTGTATAAACTGTATAAAGGATAGGACCTAGGATACTACCTTGAGGAACATGATTGACTTTGAAGTATCTGTCAGTAAGGCAGGAACGGATAATGAGGAAGTATGTAGGCGGTAGGAATTTAGGGAGTTTGCACATCAGTCCCGAATGCCAGACATTTTTTAACTTGGACATGGTATATGGAATTTAAGTTGGAAGTACAATTTTCAATAGAACTGCAATGGTGTTTGGTTATACAGATGAAATAGACGTAATGACGAACCTTTGAAGCCGCGAAAGATTTATTCTAGGAGCTCTAACGGGAAGTCCAAACAATGGGAGGAGAAGACATACATATTGGACCATATTCCTTTGAAAGATTGGAGGAATTTATATATTTAGGATTAGAAGTCAATTCCCAGAATGACATTGACTGGAAATTCGGCGTTGGATTGTCTCCACAAACAGGTGCTAATATGGACTTATAGGCATTTCAAGACTAGTAGTATCTCGAGCTACTAAGATCCACCATTATAAGAAATTGCTAAGGCCAGTCACTTATGCTGCGGATTGCTGGACCATTACCAAGAATCAGGGACAGGATCTGCAATATATGTAAATGGATGCTGATGAGGTGACTTTTATTAAAGTAAGCACCCTCAGAGGGGCTGGGCATGTTATCAAAAAACACCCTCCTGGAAGAAATCAGGAAAAAGAAGAGGAATAAGATGAAAGTTGCGATGGACGGATGGTGTAACTGTAGATACACCCTCCTCGAAGGAGGAACGCGGAACAGAGATGTCTCGGAGACACAGCTACTTGCTTACAGGCTTTGTCTTCCCTTCAGACGTAGCGCCATATAATAATAATAACAAGAGGACTAACAAATTATGTTGTAATTTTCAAAATTATTACAGCGGATCTGTGCCAAAGTACGTCCTTATAAATAAATAAACTTAATATAATAAAATAGCACTTTAAGGATTTTTCTTTAACTTATAAAGCGTATTATATATAATTAATGGGAACATACCTGTATGGTGGTACTGGACTGGAGACAGCGAGGCGGGGTCCAGAACTGTGCTCGTTCCTAATTTATGGATTTCTTGCATGCTGATTGGGGTTAGGGGGTTCACTCCTCCAACTAAGAAAACAACACACTTCTAGCAAACAGCGACAACAACAAAAACAGGCAAAAAGTAAAAATAAAAAAAAAGTAAAAGCTAAGGCCAATCAAAAATATTCAAAGCACATTGATTCAAACACTCATTCCTTCTCGACTGGATCCTGAGATAGGAAGGATATGAGAGTATGACATGCAGTGGAAGGGTCGAGATACAGTTGGCTAGTTACCTATGGAGGTGCCGATGGGGGAGTTGTAGATGTGCGTGGCCTGTGCCTGGGTGATGGTGTCGTAGAGGTCGGCGGCGGCGGCCGGGGGGAAGCTGCCCGAGGAGTCGTAATAGGGGGAACCGCCCCCCGCTGCCGCCCCCAGCTCCGAGAACAGCTTCTGCTCCTCCTTCATGTTCCACTTGCTCGACCACAGCTGCAATGATAACATTATAATTATTACATATTTAATAAATTATTGCAAAGGCAGTTCATTTCAAAAACATCAGAAACACTCACACACACACAAAAAAAAGAACTAAGGTGTGTGCTTTAGACCACATAAACAAAGTGGGATCAATAATATGGAAAATAAATAATAGCTCGTTATAACGAGGATGAAATGCTGAACATTTCCCTCGCTTACAGTATACAGATCCGATTTTTAATTTCTGAGATATTTTAATCTATATCTTCAATAAAACTCGTTTTCATCACTATTTTTTCCTTTTTCACCTCTATCACACGGCGTTGCGTTAAATTAAACAATTTTGAATAATAGCTCATTAAAAAGAGAACATTTCCTTCTATTACAATTTTTTTTCTCCAATCATTAGTTTTGGAGATATTTTAATCTATATTCAAAAACTCTTCAGTTAGTCGACTCCAGCCGACTTTATCCGAGCGTTACACATCGGAGATCTGACGGGTCAATCTAACTTACTTCTATCGTGTGGTCCAAAGCACACACCTTAGTGATTTTTGTTAGATATTTTGTCTATAATCACCCCTCTCCCCTTCAGTTGAGCCTTTAAGAACTGAGAAATCCTATATAGGCCAGATTGTGAAAATTGTTAAAATATATTCATAGGGACCTCGAAAAGCCTAACAGTATATATTTATTTTTCTGTTGGCCTTATTGATCTTTAGCAGCCTTAACCAGCTGTCTCTATCTCTGCCTGTCTTTGTTTATTTATTTCCAGTTATATGCATGCAGATATTCCACGAGATTTTTTGTCCATTATTCATTGTTGCGTTGAGACTTCCATACGAGTTGCTTCGAGCTACATGCTTCGCCCTTCTTAACCTCCTTGCCTTCATATCATCTTGATTGACCAGTTTCTGTAAGCAGTTCATTATAGGCTCTTCTCTATGCGTCAGTACTCTGATCCCAGATCGTTCCAGTTATCGTATGGACGATTATTCTCTCAAATCTTTCAATACTTCTTTCTAGGTTGCTGGTCAATGTCCAGGTCTTACAGTAGTACATTGGAACTGGCTTTATTATGGCATTTTACATCCATAATTTAAATTTCTAGAAATTTCTTGGGAGGAGAGCATGCACTCCTGTGATACATTAGGAATATATTAATATGGAATACTCACCGAACTGACGTTGGAGTATAGTTGATCTCCGTTGTACTGCGTCCTCTGTCTTTTGGCCTCCTCTTCGCCATGGCCGTTCAAGTCTCGGTTCTCATCTGAAATAGAAAAATATAAAATTAATTAAAAATCAGATTATAATTAAAATAAAAAACGATAAAATTGGATTGAAAAAAAAAACAATAAAAATAATGACCGGACTTGAGTGCGTGGTCCAAATAAAACATCGAGACAGTACTATTTTACTGCAATAACCTTGAAGACTTTTAATAAGCTTCTTTATCTTTTATTATTACAGATCAATGCCGTGATCCACTCATCTAACGATCGAGGTGGATTTTTATACTGACAAAAAACAAAAGAACAAGGAATAGAAAAGAAGGATCTGAACCGGGACAGAAGTGGCTGTTTGTCTTCGGAACAGAGGGAGAGAGTATTGTTATAGTAAAGATGTTTTGTTCTGCCGGAGGAGAGGAAGCTGGAAGTAAGTGCGGTTCTGGTTGGACCACGAAGTGACAATATAAATTAAAGGAGGGATGATGAAGAGCTCGGCCACTTGGCAGCGCTACAGGAGCCCAGGCCATCTAGATCTAGCGCGGCCATCTAAATCCCGATCCTTCATAACTCTAATTTGCAGTCCTATTCTTTCCAAAATTCTTAGTTTTCTCGACCTATTTTACTCAGTGGGATACCTAGACTATTTGTGGCTGATTAAATAAATAAAATTTAAAAAGCGGTAATATACACTATACATAATGCGGTAAAGATATCTTTTCCAGCTCTCAGTAGCGGTGGATTTTGATGAATTAAGTATTAAACAATTCAAACAAAAAATTCAATGTATCATGTAGAAGTGACGAATCTCAGTTTCAAAACATAAAACTTCACTTCAATTACAATAAAAGTCATTGCAAAAATTGAGAGTTTTCAAAACTCAGATGATTCCAAAAGTAGTGAAGAGATATTACATATTTAGGTTATAAAATTAAAATGTTACTATTTATAATAGTTATAGACAAACTAAAAATCAATTTAAAAGGTAAATGGAAGATAATAACTCAATGATCCATTGGGCAATACGAACAATATTGACTTTTTGATATTTTTAATAAATGAAAAATTGTTCAAGTGCAGTTTCTCTAATCTCAGTACTAGACTTCTGTAGCCGTAATAAATGAGAAAACTACAAACAAAGGCTCTTAAACACCAAGAAAATAGGCCCTGAGGTGGTGCAATAATCGATTAGGGATAAAATATCGAAGGCCCACTATTGATAGTTGATACATTTTTGAAATATGAGTATAAATATAAATTTTGATTCTCTGGTATATAGTCACATAAAAAAATATGTTATTTACCTTTTAAATTAATTAATAGAAATATCAATTCTTCTACCCTTCTTAGCAAAATTAATTTTCTACTGTCCTAATGCGAAGTCAGTAAATGTGATTCTAACACTAGAGCACAGTGAATTCTAAAGGATCAGATTCACGTAAATTGCTAGCGTTTCCCGATAACGATGTTTTAATTTTAATTTTAAATTGATTTATTAAAATATCGAAGGATGATATCGACAGTCGATAATATCGAAGAAAATACTATCGATATTTCGATAATATCGAGTATCGATGACCATCCCTAATTAGTATAAGTTCGGGGGCCACTTGGTCATATTAGCTAACTATTGAACTGGAAGGATATTTTCCAAAGGGTCAAGCTAATAATCTATTAAGTTAATAGTTACTTAGATAAACTTTCTTGATAATATTATATTGTTTATACAAATAAATTTGATTCGTTCATGTCGGTTATGCGTCGAATGCATTATGGAGTACGGCAGATTCCTAACGTAAGAGTTCTCACTGGGTTAAACTAGTTTACTGAAACTATTACCTCCAAACATACATCTACTCCAACTTTATATATTAGTATATATTACTGTTCTACTCAACTATGTTCTGATAGTGATCCATGGTTAGCCTTTTAAGTGTGTGTACTGGCATTATGTAATATAATTACTTTGTTCCAATATCCAAGAGACATCGAGGTCGATATAAAAGAGAACAGGGGAAAGCTGTTGAAAATGTAATTTAAAGTAGTGGACCCTCCTGTTGGGAGGGAAGGGTTGAGGACTGGCCGGGAGAGATATAGGGACACACACAGCTCACAGCAGCAGGACAATCGGTCCGCCGCAGTATTACCATTCTCTTATCTCCTCCGGCCTGCCCACTTCAGATTAGTTCTCCTCTGCTCTCAGGGTCGCCATCCTGCTTAGGCGTCCACTAATCGATTTAGAAATAATGAAGATTTACCTGGAGTCCAAAGAATGGTAGCATGGGATAATATAATTCCTATCAAATCTTCTACTACAGCTTGGTAAATAACAAAATACTATTTTTGAGAATATCTAACAGTTATCTTAGGAAACCAATGTTTTATCAAGACAATAAAATAATGTTAACCCCAAGTGTTATAAGGATTTCATCTTTAGTATTTGAAATTATTAAGGAAATTATGAGTTTTATTTCAATTTTTAAAGTCACTCACTCCGTCACCATCATGTAAAACAAATTTATGTCGGTTGTTTATTTTTAATGAAATCCTTAGGCATTTACTTTTTACTATTAATTGAAATTAGATTAAGGTTTTAAAATCCAATAATATTTTCATTACATATCTTATTATTAAAAAAAAAAATATGATGAGAAAAAAAAATTGATTTTTGTAATAGTTATAAAATACCAAATCGTAAAAAAAAAATTTTTCTTATTATAATTTTTTTTCTAATAATAAGATATGTTGTGAAAATATTATGGTATTTTAAAATCTTAATCTAATTCTGATTAATAGTAAAAATTAAATACCTAAGGATAAATGGTAGAAGGTGATATGCCCGTCACATCGATTTGACTACACCAACACCGAACCAAATTTAATCCTTCATATTTGAAACGTTCAAATCTAGTGGAAATTTTTTATTCTGAGCTCAAAATTTTGTTTAACCTCCCTCTTGAATACAAAGCTTCCCTACGTTCGGTAGTGGAAGCAATTAACAACCGAAATAAAATCGTTTATCATGTTGATGATTGAGTGAATGACTGAAAATTCAAAATTCCTTATTATTGAAAAAAAATATTTTTTTATAATTATTAAAGGGAACCAAAAACAGTCCCATTTATCACATAACATATTTCAAAGGTTAATAGATCATTGTTAATCGCAAAGAGTCTTATTGTTCCTTTTTTTCGATGTCTAGGCGCAAAAGATCCCTCCGATCAACTAAATAAAACTACTTCTATACTGTTCAGGTGGTTGGTACGAAAATAAAAAAAATAAAAGAATTAATAGAATAAAATAAATTAAAAAAAAAAAGAATTAATAGAATAAAATAAATAAAAAAAGGATAGAAATAACAAAAAGGATAAAAAATAAAATAAAATAATTAATAGAATAAAATAAGTAAATAATAATAATAATAGACACTCATAGATAATAAGATAGAATAGATTTAAAAAAAAACTACCAAAAAAAAAAAATAAAATAGCAATAAATTAATTGAAATTAATAAATCAATTGACTTTTAGAATAAAATAAATAAATCTCCAAAGGATCATTAGTAATAAACTTGTTATATATGTTTTAAAAATTTTTCATTGTCTAGGAACTTAATAACTTAGGTAACGATTTCATCTTGATTTCCCAGGGATGCTGATATATTCTGGGGTATTCCAAAATATGTTTTATGGTTATTGATTGGTCACACTTTTGACATCTGGGGATAAGATCTTTTGTTATGAGGTGGAGGTGTGTAAGTCCAGTAGGTCCGATTCTCAGCCGCGTGAGAAGAGTCTTATTTATTAGATGTTTTTAATAGCAACTGAGAAATATTGTTTTAGTGGCGGATAAAATTATGAAGAATATAAAAGAATTTCATAATTAATCAATTGCAAGATCAAGGGGACAAATCTATTCTTCATAAACATTGACAGAACTTCGCTGAACCTATTGAGATTAACTGATGAGTTACAATGACAAACAATCGGTGGAAGGTAGAAAATGGCAAATAAAGAGTGATGTCAAATCGAACCTTTTGAGCCGATATTAGCAAAGGATGGCCGAGGGTGGGGAGGAAAAAAAGTGAAACAAGAGGCGAATATTTGGAAAGAGCGAGAGACAATGGACTGGGTAAACGAGAGGGCTCCCTCTGCCGGCTGAGGCCAAAAGCCACCAGATTGAATTGGATTGGACTGGCTTCGATTGCGTCCTCTCTGTATTAGTCTCTTTTACATGAAAACAATCCGCCAACCGAACCCTCTCCAACACCTCTTTCAAAACACAATCCTTCCTTCTTGACTTTATACTATGTTATTGTTGGTGGTAATGTTATTTGTCTAAAATTAAATTGATATTTTATGAAAAAAAAATCTAGTGTGTCTGCTCAAACGACTTTCCTATCTATTTTAGAAAAGTTTTTAAATTTTTAAATATGTCTATTAAGAAAAAAAAATTGGCTAAGATTTATTTTCCTAAAAATTGATCAAAGAAAAGATTACGAACTCAAATCCCGGTGCCAGAAAGGGGACAGAAAGGGGCCTATATAACCTCTTTATTTTGAAAATTTAGGGGTGTAGGTCACGCCAAACGGCTCAATATTTTTGAAATTCGTCTTTTTTCTAGACTTTTTGCTCAAACTATCTCACGATTTAAGTGGAAAGCAAATGGGTATTTATGAGTTTTTAGTACCTAATTAAATAGAAAAAAATTGCCGATCTCCAGATTGAAAACGCTCCCATTCTGAGAATTTTCGTAAATACAATATTTGTAGGTTACGATGAGATGAAGTTATTTACGAAGTTTCAGACGGACGTTAATAATTTCATAACAATGGGTCTGTGCCACGGACTATTAGTTCGGTTTCTTTAATAATCTAAAGCAATGTAACCGGCTTGTGGAAGATCACCGTAAATAAATTCAATACATTCTAATATTGATAATCAAAAACGTTTTTGGAATACTGCATATTTTGTCAGACAATAATTTCTGTTAAAAGTAGAGGGGAAAGTGAGACCTGTGTGATGCGGGCACCAGACTTTTTTTA